AAAAAAAAAAATAAATAAAAAAATAAAAAAACACATCATAGTAAAATTAATACCTTCTCAGCTTCGCATCGAAGCTAAAATGGAAAAAATGTCGAAATATTTGTTAAGAGTATAGTAATCAACAAAATTATTACCATTATAATTAACATTCGATTGCTGCTCTTACTTTTGCATTGTAAAAAAACAATTGTTGTGAAACTACTAAAACCCGCAGTTATATAATAGCTAATAATTGTTGAAAGCGAAAGTATTATAAAATAGCTTTTAATACCGAAAATTTTACTTTATTTATACGAAAATCAATTAAGGATTCAAAGGCGATCTCATAATACATTTTATACTATAATAAAAATATAATTTTAATTATACTGTAAAAAAGTTAAATAATATAACATTCTGGTTGATAGTAAAACAATAAAGTATGTTAGCTGAAAATAAAATTAAATGTGCAACATATCTGTTGCTAAGTAAAAAGAGAATTTCTACTCATATATACGGTAAACATTCAAGAAAATTTTGCAGTCTACTATTATTTCTCATTTTTTAACTTCTAATATACTCTTCATAGTTGCGAATACAAATTTTGTCTTGTGAAAATCATTAAATTCAACAAGCTCGTCTTGGACTCGCAAGGTACGAAGTTTACAGGAATTATCAGACCGGAAAAAGTTGATTGAACTACTTGGATGTAAAAAAACTATATCGACGTATAATTCACTCCGTTGATGATGAGTTCGACTTATGGGATCCACAAAGATGAACACTCATACACTTAGTCCAGCCTTTAAAAGTTGCGAGACTTTGAATTTTTAATTTATTTTACCAATTAGGCGACATACAAGACTAGGTAATTTATCTATATAGTTCCTATTGCTCGTGAACCCTCTTGCTAACTTCCCTTAGACCGTGACTGCTACCATAGACCACTATTCAAATAATTAGTCTCCCGAGAAATAAGTGATATCTGGCTATCAAATGGGAGCGGGGATTTATTTTTCTCTGGAAGTAGCTGTTCGCTCCGCTAATTTATAAAGCTCAGAGAATTGGTCGCTTTGTTCTCATTAAGGAGTTATGGGAATTAAGTAAAATGTGTATCAATGATTTTTGTCCGAATAAATTATTTTTATGTACTATGAATTATAAGATAATGTGTAACAGTGAGTATGTATGTATGATATATGTACACCGCAACGCGGTACTGTGATGTTCTTTAGTTTTAATTTTGTCTCGCGTTGTCCGTCAAACTTATTGTAACATTTATTATCTCAACTTAAATTGTATATACATAAATTGTGTGTTATAAAAATTATTATTTTGTATTTTTTAGTTATATGGTAGTATATTAATAATAAATAACCATCACCCCAGAGTCTATTATTTTGAAATACTGTCGGAGTGTTTTCGAAACAGCCTCAGATGAAGTAGGCTCCTATGACTGGGAAATAAAGATAGAATAACTTAATTAATTAGAAATAACTGAATGTATCTTTCAATTCTCAATAAATGTATAACTCTTTATAATTGCCGGTGATGCATTGACAACATAAGTTTCGTTGAGTAACCTGTCTTATCTATAATCGTGTGCACAACAAATAAAATTGTATGTATTCAATGTATATGATAACTTGTACAATGTCTTTGGTACGAAATCCGGTTTATATATGTGTGTGATTTTTATAGCTGCTTATTTGTTATAATCTCTTATCAGTGACGTTCGTAACTTCAGTTTTTAATAGTAAATATTAGACCCACGAGGCTAACTGTATATTTTTATTTTTGACTTAATACCATATCATCTCTTAAATTTTTAATTATTCTTCAATTCTATTTGCTAAAAAATGGGTGTTATACAACGAGTAGCGTAAGTAAAAAAAAATATAATAATTTTTCTCGTTTACCGTTTTAATATTTGGTATTAAATTAATATAGAAAACCTAGAACAAAAAGAGGAAAACGAGTTTTATTGAAAAGAGAACCTAAAGTAATAGAAAATGTAAAGCAATGTATTTTTATACCGGGTCGGAAAGTTTCACAAACATCCAAAAATTGTTTAGTAGATTTGGTATGTTTTCTTTTTGATCAATTTTTTTCTTTAGATTCATTTAATTTGTTTGTCATATAGTTAAAACTAAAGAAACCAGATGCTGTTATGTTGACTCAAAAAAATGATATTTTGCCTTTTGATGATACTGTACAAATTGAAAAGCTATTACAGAAACATGATGCATCATTATTCTTTTTTTCATCTCATAATAAAAAAAGGCCAAACAATATAGTTTTAGGTAAGTATTGTAGTCATATTAATTTAAAAAAAAAAAGTAATACTATAACTGAATCTTAATTTAGGTCGTACCTATGATCAGCACGTTTTAGACATGTTTGAATTAGGAATAGAATCCTATAAAAGTTGTACAGAATTCAAAGGTTTATCTGAGATTACAGCTGGAGTTAAGCCTGTTTTAGTATTCTTAGGTGATCAATTTGATAGTGATCAACAACTTAAACGTTTACGGAATTTACTAGTAGACATGTTTCAACGACAACAACTTAAACAGATTAGACCAAATGGTGTTCAATTAGTTCTTTCATTTACTGCTGTAGATAATAAAGTTTTATTGCGCTCATATAGGTAATTATATATACTTTCAAGAACTAAAATTGTGTTAATTTCAACAACATAAATTTATATATGAATGATTATTTCTATAGATCAACTCTTTCAAAAACTAGTATAAAAACACCTAGAGTTGAATTGAATGAAGTTGGACCATCTGTAGATTTTGTTTTGAGAAGAGATCTTATGGCTAGTGCAGATCTATTTAAAACTGCCTGCAAACGAATTTCACTAAAAGTATGTAAAATAAATATAGTTCAAATACTTAGAAAGATGAAAAAATGAATAATTGGTTTAATAATATTTTGTTCTCTAAAAACATAAGTCAATACCTTTTATAAAAAAAAAATTTCAATTTAGGAACATAGTTATTTTTTCTAATATATTTTATGATAAAATAATCTATTAAATTAGTATAAAAATGTATTTAATTTAGAATAAGGAATACGATCCTTATACTAGTTATTTTTCTCGTAGAGTAAAAAAAAATTTTATATTAATTAGTGTATCTAAAAATGAGTAAAATAACTTATATGATTTTTTTAATAACTGTTAGGAAAACTTTTAATTTTACATGTTAATTATATTCTTAAATTCTTTTTTATTTAGGGTAAAAAAATTAAGGGTGTACGGCGAGATAACTTTGGTTCTAAATTAGGTCGTTTACATATGACAAAACAAGATGTAAACAAACTTCAAACTAGAAAAATGAAAGGTCTTAAAAAAACATTTGCTGAAAAGAAAATGAAAAGGATGGCCAGTGAAGAAAATAATGACCTAGCTATTAAAAAATCTAGAGATAATCTTAAAGCATCACCTGGTAAAAAATTAAAGAAGTTCAGCAAAAAAGGAAGAAAATTAAGAGGCGGACAAGTATAAACTTATAAGTTGCTATATTATAATCTTTATTGGTCAAAATAAACAAAATGTTTGGATATAATAAAAATGTTCAAAAATAAATATTTATCTCAAATAACAAATATAAAATACTTATAATGTAGTATAAAATATTATTAAGTACTTTTAGTGTACATAAATATGGAATTTGTTCGAGATATTAGCATATAACTTTAAGGGGAACAGTCATGTTACGAGCTGTTCTAATACATATAGATTTGGCACATTCCGTAGAAACTGCAGTCCAATTAAATTTAGCAATGGGAAAAACATCTTCTAAAGGTGATTGAAATGTAACTAATAAGGATACACAAAATCCATCATTTGTAGCTTCTGGTTTTCCACAATGTTCAATGGTCAATACTCCATGAGGTTTGTGAGGAGCTACATCTGCGCCAAATATTTCCTAAAATTTAAATATTTTACTACATAATTAATGTTTTACCATAAATATAACAATTATTGTAAAGAACTTACAGTCATAAATTTACGTAATGTTGAATGCAAGTTACGGTTATGATTAATTTCACACATTGGTAAATGTGCTTCAGTTTTTTCCGATATAAGTATATGTAGTTTATTTCTGTAATTAAAAAAAAAATTATTTTTCATAAATATTATAATATAAATAATTATTTTATATTTACGTAGTTTTTTGTTTGGCACAAATAAGAAGTCTTAACAAAAGTTTTCTATGAGCTTTTATACTAGGTAGAACACTCTGGTGCCATTGATTTCGTATGCCGTTTCTTATGTGTGAATGATATGCTCGGCCCCTTTCTATAATAGGTATTATATCTTTAGCCAGTAAACTCACCTATAAAAGAATATTTATTAAGATTTTAATTTAAATCATTGAAATCATTTAATACTTCAGATATATCTTTGATCCATTTGGCTTGTAGGGATTCTTTATCAGCATGTGCTGGTGTTTTTAAATGGCCACCTATTACAGATCCAGTTAAAATAAAACGAAACCATGCTTTAGATGCTGCTTCAACACATAATAATGTATCAAGTTCCATTTCCAAACCAGTTTCTTCCAAGCATTCTCTTTTTGCGGCTTCCTAAACAGTTAGAGTTAATTTTATGATTTTCAGAAATAGTTTTATTACTGACAAGTAGGTCTTCTCCAGGTTCAACATGGCCAGCTGGTAAATACCATTGGCCTGCACAAGAACTTTTAGCTTCCTGCATCATGAGAACTTCATCATTATTGTTAATCAACACTACTAATACAATGTACGACACTGTACTTTTTATTATCGGTACATAATCGGAAGGTCCTATGGGTGTTATACCTTTAGCCACTGTCAAAAAAAATTATTTCTTATTAAAAGTATTGTAATAAGTTAATGCTTATTAAATAAAATTAATCATATACAGTTACAATGAAACTATTGAGCGAGACAACTAGAAAAAGTCAACATAAATAACATTTAGAGCAGATACAATTAATTAATAGTGTTTACGATTTAATGCTTGCAGGAAAAATGAAATATTAAGCATTAATTTATACAACATAAGTAAAATTATCACAGTGAAAATAAACATAATTTAATATCAACATGTTATATTTATCATAAGAAAATTTTATAAAATTTGAAGAATAGATAATAAAATTGTATTTACCGCAGGCTTCATTTTGAGCAGCCAAGGTAAAATCACACAATTCTTCAGTTTCATTTAAAGCTTCACCATTTAACAGTTTTAATACTTTAGATTCCAACATCTTTGATTATTGCATTTCAAATTTTTTAATAAATATTTATTTATTTACATATAATTGTCAACCAATAATTAATTATTAAAATTTATAGTTGTAATAAAAAAAATTAACCGAATAACTTCAAAACTAGAACCTATCAAAAACGACTTTTTATGTAAAAATAAAATTTTTGAAATTTTAAATTCCTGAGTAATTGATTATATTTAATTTGAACTATTACCTGAATTGTTTATGTAAAATAGCTGCTATCGTCATCAAAAGTGGGAAAATGTAAATATTACAGTGCTATCACTTGAATAATATTTTTGAATAAACTATTGTTATCTATGAAAATGCCTATCATGGCTACCGGTTATAGTGATAAGTTGACTTAGAAATCTTATTTAGTCGATAACCGAAATACAATTTTCGTTTATGTTTATAGATTACTTGTTTGCAATACGAGTTCAATTTATTTAACAGTTAATTGATCATTCGTTTCAACCTCATCATCTGATAATTTTTTTTAGTTTAAGACTAATAAATTTTTTGTCAACTTACTATATTAACTCATTATTAGTTTAATTGTACAATTACAAATATTTTGGTAAGATACTCTTTTCAATTTAAAATATACTTATAAGTTACTATGTTTATAATTTAATTATTGTTTAGAAATGTATGTTCAAGTGTCGGAAAATGAAAACAGTGATCCCATAGATATGCCCACTGAAGATGATAATAGCCTATTGTTAAGTACGTTAGAAGCTCAATATCCAGGAGTTATTGGTTTGAAATATCGCGTTAATAATAGATTACGCATTATAAGACTCAATGAAGGTANTAATAATAGATTACGCATTATAAGACTCAATGAAGGTAAATTGTTTCCTCCTGAAGATGGTTGGTTAGATCGTGTATATGTATGCAATTTTCGCAATGCACAAACTACTACTACTACTAAACGTAAACATAATGAGATTGATGATGAAATCAAAGCAGAAGATGATGATGGTATTTCTGATATGGATCTAGTGGTTTTGGGTTTACCGTGGAAAGTTACTGAAGATGATTTAAAAAAATATTTTTCTAAATTTGGACTTGTTGAATATACTCAAATTAAAACTGATTCTAATGGTAAATCAAAAGGTTATGGTTTTGTACGCTTTAAGCATAAAAAATCTCAAGTTCGTGTTATGCTTGAAAGGCATAATATAGAAGGTCGTTGGTGTGATGTACGCATTCCTAATAGTAAAGATAAACATGTTAATAAAGTTCCACGTAAAGTATTTATTGGTCAAGTGCCTGAAGATGTTGATGAAGAAACATTAAAGAAGTATTTTATTAAATTTGGTGAAATATCAGATTTATTTTTACCTAGACCACACCGGGGATTTGCTTTTGTCACCTACACTGATCCAACATCTGCTCAAAAAGTAATTGGTAAAGATCATAAAATAGGCAATTATAGTGTAGTGTGCACTGAAGCTATACCAAAAAAAGATATGGCTCCTAAATGGAATGATTATGATAGCCGGGATAGATTCAGAGAAAGTAGAAGAGATCGATCACCTGTCAACTCATATGCTTGGTCTCAAGATGAAATTTGGGACTATGATCAAGATAGTTATGATCGACCATACAATAGAGGAAGTAGTTCTCATCAATCCAATATTGGTAGTTATTCAAGTGATAAAAATATTAATCCTGATGTTGTAGCAGCAGCTGTTAATAAAGCAGTTATGGGGGTTATTGGAAATTTAAAAGTTGGACAAACTGAAAAAAATCCTGGTTCAGATGAATGGTGGTTAAGGCGATAATTTAACTTAGTACAAAAACTGTATTTATGCCTTTTTAACTTTTAAATAATTTGATATTAGTTTTGAGGACCACTTTGTAGAATATTCTTTAAATTTTCTAATATCTTAAAGATTATAATTATCAAATTTCAAATTCTAAATTTAATTTAATTTGATTTTAAACAAAAAGAAAATAGCATTTTATAAAAAAAAAGTGACATCTATGTTTATTTAATAATTTCTTGTAAAATTTTTTATAAATGTTAACTATGTACGTTTTAAAAACATAATGTTAATAAAAAATAAACATCCTAATTTGTATATAAATGTATAAAATTGGAGCTTCATAATAATAAAATTAAAATATGGACAGGTAAGTTTTATTGTCATCGATATATATATTTTTATATACACTTTAAGTATTAACAAAAGTAAAAATTTTTACTCTATATCACATAGCCAATAATTTTGTCCATATTTGGCAAGTGTGTACCTCAATATTTCCATTGACTATCATTTTTTTCATGTGTTATGTGTCTACACAATAAAACTTCTTTTTATACAATATTGTAAATTTTTATTTATACTAAATTGCACAACTTAAGTACAAGATGTGGATTTCATAAAATACGCTTTATTAAAAATTATTTATTTTGTAAAATGATATTTATAGTAGTTTTTAAATATTATTAAAAAATACTTGGAAGAATTCAATACTGAAATCAACACAACCATTAAATAGCTATAGAAAACATATACATTTACTAAATAAGATGTTTTACCATACTGAAAAAAAAACACAATTAAAAAATCAATAAATTTTATTTTACTTTGATATTTTGGCATTAGTGTCAGATATTATTTTCACATGGTGTGAATCTAATAAGGGAATACAATTATTTTTACTTCATACAATTTTTATTTTAAGATTATAACATTTTATGTATACACATATGATTCAACTACAACAAAAAATTTATTATCTGCTTTAAGTGTCCATAATTAAATTTTTAATTACTTAGATTAAGACAGACTACTAACAAAACATAAAAACTAAAGAGACAAAACAATTACATTTTCATTATCTTATTTAATAATAGTAACTCAGTTTTAAAACAAACTGAAAAAAAAAACAGCGAAGGAAGATATAAAATGTTTGTTGTGCATTGCGCGATAACCTGTAACAATACTATTAGAACTGTATGACAGATGTAAGTTATTGACGACACATTTTCTTGCTATAACAATGTTAAAATGAATTCACTAATAATACATCATTGGTAAGGTTATATATATATATATTATATAATACAAACAAGAATACTCCTTAATACTAATAGTATACAAATAATATGTTAAACAATACTTTGGTACTTTATCTCATAAAAATTGTGCTTGTCCCACATTGTAGATACTAAAATTCATCTTTGTCAAGATATATCCTCATCCTTATTTTTTTCACAAAACAATAATTAATACGTAAATGTATAAAAAATGTACAATTTACATACATTTAAAAAAGAAACTAGGACATTGGTAATGTATTAAAATGATTTTACATTAACATCTTTAGTTTAACAACAATTAAAAACAATAGTCAGAAAAACATAATTTCCACTTAAATGTCATAGACATACAAATGTTAAAGTAAAAATGTGAACATCCATGCATATATTACATCTTTATGCAATTTTTCTCACATTAGGAAAGTACTCAAATAGTACAAAATTAAAACAAAACAGTCGATATAGCACCCCTCATTTCATTTAATCTTGAGAGGCAGCTGGATAATATCAGGAGGTACCCAAATCACTAAAACTACTATCTAGCCTCCGTTCTGTTGATATGGCCAGTAACTTATTGAATTCGGCATCTAATATTTGGCGAGCCTGAAAAAGAAAAAGTTACGAACATGCCACACAAAACTCATGAGATAAATTTCATACTTGTGTATTCTGAGGAGGAATTTGTAGAGCCATAGCAAATGTGTTTGAATCAAAGTTTTTATCGAGCGCTATTATGGCACCATGCACACCAGATTCAGTCAAATTATTAGTATATTCCTAGAAGTATATTTATGCATTTATTATATATTTATAGTAAATAATTTTCTTGCTTAAATAAATCTTACTAGAAGGAATTATTTATATTTTACTTGTTTCAGTATAAAAAATATAAAATTAGTTTGTATGTGAAGGCAAACAAAATATTAAAACTCCTATTTTAAATATTTTTAGTTTAATAAATTACTTTGAGTCCAATGTTAGAGATCCATTTTATTACTCTTTCATTTGACCAAACTAAAATATCTACAGTTTCATGTTCAGCAATACGACGTCTTTCCTCAAGTTGATTACGGTCAAAATTCACTCTTTTAAGGCATGTTATGCCAAATTGCAAACTTGTTCTAATGGTAACACATAATTTTATTTTAATTTGTTTCAAAAAATATATAATAAAAATTGATCACTTATGACTAATATTATTTTAAATTAAAATTATAATAAAAATATTTAACTCAAAAACCTTTAAAAGTAAAAGTAAAATACAGATACTTATTTNTTATAATAAAAATATTTAACTCAAAAACCTTTAAAAGTAAAAGTAAAATACAGATACTTATTTCAGGAACAAATTGATAATGGTAACATTGTTCCCAAAATACTTAACCACAATTTGTTTGACATTTTAGGTTTAACATTTTTAATATAATTTTAATTTTAAATTCAAATAAAATACACAGTTATAAAATAAATAAATTTAGACTATAACTGATTGATAAACACATTGTCTTAAAAACCAATTATTTCTACAGAAAACAGTGCCCAAGGGGGTAGTCCAAATACAGTAAAAATGCACAAAATGATATTAAATATTACTTTTTAGTCAAAATAAATAATACATTTACCTATGAAATCCATCAAGCATTTTAAGCTGAGACCTGAAGTCACGTTTAGTTAAATGGTCAAGCATTCTAGCATCAACTAGACATTCCATAAAGGTTGAACGATATTGTGGTAAGCCCAATGAAGGTAACCAGTAGTTACCAACCCATTCATGATTCATATCACCAAATGCTAAAGTTGATCGCAGTGACTTAGCTGGTGCTGATGGACTAGTTAAAGAAACCATTTCTTGAATAGCTAACCTTAGTTTCAATCGATGTAAAGGATTGCTATAAAAAAATATAATTAAATCCATATAAATATATTAATCATTGTTATGATTCAATTAACATTATTACCTAATTCCAATCTCTCTTTGTATTTCTGTGTCTGATAAAGCACTCATTATTGCACCTGACTTAACATTAGCTCTACAAGCTGCCACATACCAGGCTGGCATGCCCACCCACAATTCCAACCACGCAACTATAGTTGGGCCATTCCATAAAGCAAAAGGTGTCCCTGCTTTCATAGCTTCTTCAAGTAGTTCGTGCCTATGTTTTTAACATTAATAAATTATACAATTTACTACATTAAGTCTATATTTACTTTTTCTTTTTCCTTCTATCGAAATCTCCTTTTTGTCCTAAGGTTGCACTGCATAGACTGGAAGTATCATCTCCAGCATAAGAACTAGCCAAAGACATGTCAGAATTTGACATATGGCCCAGCATGCCACTCATTCCTTCTTTACATTTTCCTTGCTATGATTAAAAGTAAATAAATATATTTCAATTTAAGTTTTATTTTAAGTTAAAAAAAAATTCATACCTTTTCTTTTTTGCTAAAAAATCTCCCTAAAGAAGATTTTATTCCCTTCTTCTTTTGTGCTGCTGCAGATGCTGATGATGGTAATGTATGATGATATGAAGGCATTTGAGAAATACTGAATGCACTTGATATACTCGATAAACTGGTTCCAGTTTGTCCCATCATTGTTGGTCCATGATGTAAGGAATCTTGACTGCTGTGACGAGAGGACAATGGTGATGGAGGTGTAGAAAAGCCACTGGTACCCCTATATTACAACCCAAAGCAACTTCTACTACAAACCATCTAATAAGCATTTCTTGGACTAATGTACACATTGCAATGCATTTAATGTACAAAAAGAAAAGCATATTTAAATGTTATTACAGAAAATAAAATATACTATATTTAGTCAAAAATATCGAGCTAATTATTAAGTTATAAAAAAAAAATGTTAAAGTAATAAATTCATAAATTTAAATTTATTTTTTAAATTACTAAATATCTAGAAATAGTAAAATAATTAACAATTTAATATTACAGTAATATCAACACAGTGCTCAAGATATTATTTTAGGCTACTGTTCAATTTTAAAAATACAGGTTACATAAGAAATAATGTACATTAGGTATGTGTTAAATATGTACAGTGCTACATAAGGAAACTTTATTTAAAGGTACAAAATTAGTTAAAAACATGTTAATATACCTGAGCGTTGAAGGATTATAGTTAATCATGCCCATTGTGGTAGGAACAGTGTTAATTCCAGCACGCCTGATAAATTAATTACACACATAACATTCAATTGATGTAAGCAAAAATACAATAAATTATTACTAACCTCCTTAATTCTTCTTGACTGTGTGCTAGAGCTTGAGCAACACGCTCCAATCTCATTGAACGAGCTGTTAGAGGACTAGCTGCACCGTTATTATCTTGACTAGATGACATACCCATGTTTTCTTCTTCATTAAGCTGAAGCTGATAAAAAATTATTTTAATTTATATGTTCTAACTAATTATTAAGCAAATTAATCTTACAGAGTGGTATTTATGCAAAAATTCATTTTGAGGTGTACATCTACCACTAACTGGAGGTGACTGCCGTTCATAACTACGATTTCTAGATAAAAGATTTACATGTTCCATACTACCCACCCTAGATTCTAGTTCTTCAGCTCTTGCTTCTGTATTTTGTTTTTCTGCTTGAATTAATCTGATTTCTGTATTTATAGCATCTAATTGTTCTTGCAGCATTAATGCTAGAGTTTGAGCATCTGCTGCAGATGGAGACAATGGTTCATTAGCATCACAATACATGCCACCATCATCATCTAGGTCATCTTCACCGCCATCCATATCTACATCACTAGAAGCATCAAATGCTTGTTGAACATTGGCTAGAACATGTGCTTGTTGAAGTTTTTCCCATTCCTAAATTAATTAAATAATAATAAAAAAAATACAATCAAATAAAATATTAATTCAAAATAGAATTTTATAACTCTAAATAACCTTTGCATGATTTGATTCCATGGGAGACATTCTAGATTTAAGTGATCTTCTAGAAATCGAATGAGAATCAAAATTGGAATGTTGACTAGAGCTATGAACAAAGCCACCTTGATCAGGACCACCAGGTGATAAACTCCTATAAACATTTTTTTGTAAATTTTAATTAATATAATACATTAGTGTAAAATAAGAAATAACCTGGTCAATGCATCAGTTTGTTGAATATTAAAAGCAATTTCTTGCTGAAGCATTTGTCTTTTAATACAGTCAATTTCCATGCGAGCTTTTCCCAGTTCTTTTAATAGTTCAGTCTAAAATTATTTAATGATATTATGAACTTTTAACAATAAAGCAGTTATTTCAAACTTTTTTTTTTATATACCTTTTCAGTTTGTAATTCTTCAACTAGTTTTCGACACTTTTCTAATTCTTGTGTTAGCATGTTCTTTTCTTCTAAAGCATGCATACGTTCTTTCAAATGAACTTGTAAACGTTCATTTGATTCTATGCATATGAAAGATAAAATAAATTATATATTTAACAACATTTTTATTAATCATAACTGTAAATATTGACACTAAATATTCCAACTTAAAATACCTGAAAGTAATTTATCAACTGTAGCTGATAATCTGGTATTATGTTCTTCATTCATTTTTAATCTTTGATTTACTCTCATAACTTCAGCATTCTTTTCTTCTACTTGAGATTCTAATCTTTGAATACGATCTTCTGCAGTACCATGTCTTTCTTGTGCCTAAACAAATTTACCATAATAATTAAACCACACAAAAAATATAACATGACATTTTAATATAAAAACAGTGACAATACAATAATATTACTTAATAATTACTACAAGTATTAAAAAGCTTAAAATACATCATTTTTTTGTTCAAGAAACTAAAAATTTATAATTTAAGATATTTTTGAGTTCTTAATACGTTTTTGAAACATTTAAAATTATATACTAAAATTACTAATTTATTTAATTGCATAATAATATAATAATGATCTTTTTTCATATTAAAATAATTAAACTAACTTTTGGATAACTATAATTTAAATACAATCAATTAAGTTAAAAACATCATAAATCTTTGTAAACATTGAATAAACATATTAGTTTGGTTTCAATGATACAAATATTTTAATTGTTAATAAGAAATTGATTAAATTAAACTATATTAAAAATTGACAAAACCTTTTTATACATTAACGCTATTAATTTAGTAAAAACATGAATTAATAATGCATTTAATAAAAATAAATATATTTAAAGAAAAAGTTTAAGTTGATTAAAATTGTTTAAACATACTCAAAAACGCATGCACTGCTTTTAATTCACTTATTATACAATAATTATTATAAATTATTTTCTATCTAAAGTATAATATAAAAAAAAATAAATTATAAAATATAATGCAATGATTTCCAGTTACTGCAGCCTGTTCTAGGAATTTAACAGTCATTATAACTTTGTTGAAATCCTTGCAATTTATTTGTGTGCTAATAACTCATTAGCTACTAAAATTATCATTGTGTTACAATTTTGAGGTATGCAAAACAAATTATTTTTAATATCACATATGTAAGTTTAAGAGAATATGATAGTGTAGTAATACTATTTCAGATAGTGCTAAAAATATTCTACATAAAATTCAGAAATATACAACAATTTTAAAATAATATTAAAATTTTCAAGAACTAGTAAGAAGTCTAAATTAATAAATACGAGTTCGACAACAGGTTGGGTAATAAAATAAGAATAAAAAAGATAAATTAAATAAAAGTAGAAAACAAATTGAGAAAATAGTTTTATCTGTTGAACGAAACTCGTACCTGAGCCCTTACCTGGGTAAGGGCTTCCATTCGTTGTTTTAATTCTTGTTCAATTTCCGGCAGTGTGGCAAATTGTGCTAACTTTTGTTCGCATAGCTCTAATTTTTCTTGAATAGCTCTAGTTTTTTCTTCTTGTAACTGTAGATGAATATAAATGAGTAAAAATTGTAATTTCATGATAATATAAATTTTTGAATTAACATATTTAAAAAACAAACTTTTAATTGGGCTTCTTTATGTTGCAATTCTTGTTCCAATTTATCATTTAAATCATGTATTGATGTTGATTCACGTTGCAAATTCAAATTTTTTTTTTCTAAAGAATTTATTCGTTCTTCCTATAATACACAATACAATAAAAAAATTATATTAAGAATGTAATATTTTAAAAATTACTTGTTCATCTTTAATTGAAATATTTTCTCTAAGTTCATGATGCAGATTGTTGTTATTTTCTTGTGCTTTATGAAGTTCCCGTTGTGTTTTAGATAGCGAATCTTCCAGTTCTGACACTCGACTAGATAATTCATTCATTTTCCAAGTACCATACTCAGAATTCTGAAAAAAAAAAAAAATTGAAATAGAGCTATTCTATTTAATTGGTTAAAAAAGCACATAGTTCTTTCTAGGCACAAACCTCAGAATCTAAACCATTATTCTTAGAATTTTCCATACATGCATTGACTAGATTTTTATCAGGTGCATTTTCAGTCGTTTCATCAACGTGACCGTTCAGTGTTCTATTCTGACATGCAAACCAAAATTTTATATAAAATGCTAAAGATGCTCATGCTAGCAAAATATTTATTAACTAATAAAGTATAAGTTTCTAAACTTAATTTTAATGTTATAGTACATAAGTGAGATCATAGAGTTAATTAAAATTATTAAAATGCAAAAAGTAAAAATATTCATATATGTTTTTAATTGAAGAGTGTTACTCATTAGCTATAATTACGAAGAGTAAAAATAATTCATATACAAATAGGCCATATGTATTAGGGTAGCACAGAATAAAATAATTCTTATTCTTTTTCTTACTACCTAAAAATAATATTTACAGTAAGAAAATGAGTTTTTAAAAATTTGAGGTGATTTGGTAAATTTTACTACTTACTACGAGTTAATTTTCAAAAATCAACTAAAAAATTATACCTTCAACAATATAATTTAATTAATACTTTACTTATCTATCTACTAATCTACAATTAAAAAAAAAATTAATACTAATATAAAAATTTGTAACATACTACAAAATATCAGGCTTGAAAAAAAAATGAATTACTTTTATAGCAGTTGATAGAGTATTAGAGCCATCATTATAATCAGTAGTTCCATTTTCTTGAGTAGTCGAATCATCTTCAGATTTACCACCCGATTTTAGTACATCAAGCTAAAACAAATATCATCAATTATAAATAAACAAATAAACATGATAAATTAAACATCATTTTTACCTCTTGCATAGTACTTTCTAATTTTTCTTCGAGTTTAGCATTAGCTTCAAGTGCATACCTCAGTCTATCTCTAACCTAAAAAAAATACATTAATGTAATATGTATACAAAGTGATCGACTAACTATGTCTTACATTATATCTTTAAAAATGCAATGGTTCTAAACAATTTTTTTTTAAATTATCATGGATCTTTGATGAGTTGTTTCACTAGAAAATTTAAAATTTATCAACATCAATTATACTTAGAACTTGTATCAACTTCAGATGTTCAAATGGAAATCTCATATTATTTTTATAAAAATTTAATTTTTCTTATGAAGCACCTCATAAAAGATCCTTAATGATTAAAATAAAAAAAATTATTAATAACACCAGTATCTTTAAAAATATTATGTGAGACCTAGTTAGCCGATCACCCTGTATATATAAATAATATATTTTTGCTACTATATAATTTCTTACAATTCCGTAGTTTACATGTCACATGCAATTTCATTACGAATTTATTAATTTATATATTATATAAATATTGAATATATCTATTCAAAAAACCCATTTATATACTTAATATTTTATTTTGTTGCTTTAAAGTGTAATTTAGGATATTATATATAATATCCTATAGCCAATGTCATTTGCAAAATAAATTATGAAGTTCACATATCTTTGAATATTTAACAAAAAACAATATGGTGTATTCAATTCATTCACATAATTTAGTTTTATTTAACAAGAATCTAATGTGACTAAAATACAACAATATGTCTTTTTGGAAAATTTTGAAAAAGTTATGGTTGTTAATGAAAGTTAGTATCAAATTAAATCTTATTTTTTCAAAGTAAGTAAATCAAAGTTTATGTTGTAAAGGAAAAACTCAGAAGAGTGAAATTAAATTATAATACTTGTGTACTTTTGATAAAATGGGATCCAATTTAATCTAAAAATACTTAAAAATAATAGAAGCTTTCAAAATTATGAAGACAAAAGTATCTCAGTATGTTTTGGATGGATGTCCAAAATTTTTTTTTTCATATTTAGTTCATGTATAAAAAGCAAAATTACTAAAATTATGTCAAATTTGACATATTCATTTGATATTAATAATATCATTATCAATATTATACTAATATCAATTATTATTTATATAAAAGATGAAAATTTAATTATATAATTAGAATTTATACTTTTTCATCAAGAGCCTTATGGTGTTCAAAAAGACTCTTGAGTGCTTTAAGAACTTCTACTTCACTAGAAACACCAGAATATGCTTGCGGATTTTGATTTGTTTGTCTTTTAATTACTGTAGATCGAATTGACCTCTCATGTCTTGAAACCAAACTCTCCAAATGCTCCAAGAGTAACTATAATTAATAATTTTTAGTGAACTGCCCTATGAATACAATATTAAAAACTAAATACTTACTCTAGTATTACTTCTTTCAGCTTTTAATTCTGCTATTTCTTCATCTCTAGCAGCAAGTTGATCTCGAGTTTGACTCAATTCTTTTCTCAGAGCTGCAATTTCCTGTAAATTGTATAAAAATCTAACATAAACAACAATGCCTAAAATTAGGATAAAAGTATTCTAACATACTTAATAGATAATATAATAATTTAGTTACATAAATTATTAACGTTTTTATAATATAAAAACGTTAATATTCTATATAGATATGTATGTATAGATAAGTATAATATACTATTATTATAATATTTACAGTGTTTAATAAGCAAGAAAACAGGATTCCTTACTTTTTGAATACCCCGTGTGTATTAAATAAGATATTTTCGACTTTTATTTAAATAATTCCCCAATAAAACAATGAACTACTGAAATATGACAAAATAAAAATAAAAACTACATAAATACAGTTTAATCATTTAGTAAAAATTATTTTAGAGACGATGGAAATCTATGGAATATAAATTTAAAAACATGAATTTGCCAAAAGCTGAATTTTAATAAATTTATATTACCTGAAGCAAAACAAGGTGTAACATACAAGCGCAAGTTCTCGCATTATTGTTAATATTTGTTTTCTGTTTGAAATTATATTGTGTATTGTCGCATGTATCAAATATTGTAGAGGCAGCATCGTTTATGAGCGTAGCAAATGCATTTGAACGGTAAAGTAAATTTATATTCATAGTATAGATGAATTAAGGGTTTGATAAGTCACGATAGTAGTCAACACACGACTGAAAAATCATGTGACGAAACGAAAAATATTTTATCTACAGAAACGGGTTTTCCGCCCAAGGTATTAAGTTGAAAATGTGTATTCAATTTTAATGTAAATGTGTGATCGGAAAGAAAATGATATACATAACACGGGAAATGAAAACGAGGAAATCAAGTATTGCACCAGGGGAAGAAAAAATATCATGTATTTCATTAAGCGGCCGCCCTTAATCTGTTTGAGTATTACAGCATCACCCTACCTTTTAATATCGCTCAAACTACAAAATCGTCATACTTAAATGCAATGACAAGGAATTTATAAGAGTGTATAAATAACAGACTTTTACTTTTATGTTATACTTTTTTTTTATCAAGCAACTTTTCTTTTTATCAAATGTATATGCATTATATAAACAAACACTTTCGCACGGTATAACCTTTACTATATTTACTAGAACACGCTTTTTTAAAATTAAATTTCACCAGGTAACGAAAACTTTAACACGTTAAGATATAAATTATCTAGACGATATATAATATTAGATAATGTTAAAGAAACATGATTATTCTCCAGAATAGGTAAAATTCGAATATATCAACAATATATAAAAATTCTTTACACCATAGAAATCAGAATTGTCTTTCAAGTTTATCTTATAATTTAAAAAATATTATAACGTTGGACGAAAAAACAAATCAGCGCAATAAATCGAAACTGTTTCAATTAGGGTCGAGGGTATTTCAAGTTCTGTCCTACAGTTTTGGAGTCTAATTACAAATAATAAATTGGCTAGGCAATACAAGTAACATGAAATGAAATGACCAATTTGTTCACCGAAAACTGCTAATTTTCCCTTCGGGGAATATTATTACGAATAAAAAATTAGATAAACGAGGAAATAAACGAAAGTCGAATACAAAATAAAATTTGAGAAGTATAAATGAATGAGGGTAACATGAAATATAATAACATTCGGATGGATTAAATAGTAATATTTATTTTTAATATTTAACTATAAAAAAACACCTAACAAAGTTGTAAAAGCTCAAAATAACGTAACATGCAATGCCAAAAAAAAGTTGTTCACAAAATAAAAATAAATTTATAATAAGCATTGAATTTGAGTACAAAAAAAACTAAGCACTTATAGTACATCTATTTGTATTTCATTGTTTTTTTTTTTAACCAAACATTCGTTTGATGAAACATGTGAGTCAGTACGAACAAAAATGTTTCTATTAAATATAAATTAGTTAGTTTTAAAACAAAAGTAAAAAATCATTTTATAAATAATTGTAAATTTGAATAGCATAAAAGTACCTTTAAATAAAATGTGACGCATAAAATTCGATACTTAAAGAATTAATTTTCAGCAGTACATAATTGCAATTATTAGACACGCAACGAGTATATTATTTAAAGAAATGCTAATGCATTCGATACACTTTGTCGGAACAAGAAAAAACGTATTAACCGATTAAGCGCATGTTCCATAAAATCTCATTATTATCGCCAACAAATAAAAAGCAAAGGGTATTTTTAAAGTGATCTTTGAAAGGGAGGTGAACGGAATTATAACGCAGAATTAATGATAGACAAATAAAATTAAACGATTTTTTTTCACTATTTGTAACGAAAACTCAATTTATTACCATTGCTTATTGACAACGGTTCGTTTTTTATTTAACATAATATACAAAAATATATGTGTACATTTTAGTTTTGTCTTGTATAAAAATTTGTTTAATTAGAAATGTTAATTTGCGCGAGTACTCTTAAAATTCAACTTTGAGCGATAAAAATTGATAGAGGAGAAAAAATATACTGACACACATTTTAAGTGTGGGGGTAAAACACTTATGCCGATTTCGTAAAACTATATTATTACGTATCAGGAACACACCCAACAGTTATGTTTGATGGCATGACTTTGTGAATGAAAAAAACGTAGGAAGATTACGGGATAGTTTATTACTTAGGTTTACAATTGAAATACTTCTATTTAATATAAAAAATAACTGTTAGTTTGACAAGCAAACTACTCACTTTTTTTTTTACTAACTTTCATTTTTAATAATTGCATTCGTCAATTTATTCAGTTATCTACTAGTTCAAATAATTAATAGAAAGTAATCAATTTTAAGAGAATAATTAATTAAAGTTGTCAAACTTTATTAAACAAAACCAATAATTGTGACAAGTAATAATTAAAAAAAATAGTTGCATACACTTAATAAACATCAAATACAAAAAGTCTACATAGAAATATTTAAACGAAATAATCTGTATCAAAGAGGAATGAATAACACATGTGGTCGTTGAAATTGTTAAGACTAAAAGAAATATGCTCTTGCAATGATTATTAGATTCAACATGGCTTGAGTTATGCAAAAGAAAAGCCGTCGATCTTCAAATAGATAATTGTTCTTTGACAAAAATATTGAATAAGTTATTTTGCAAGAGGGCCAAAAAAGATTAATCAGTCATATTGACATAAAATGAACTGGAAAACATCATACTGGTATTAATTATAATTAATAGTGCGAGACTATTGACAGTTTTTTAATTACAACAAAAATCAGTTAAAAAAAAAAAAAAAAAAATTATAAAAGCATAAATACAGAAAAAAAGTTGTTTGTATAAGTCTATTTTAATTTTGAATAACATTATATTGTTGACTTAATATTTTATGTATTAATTATGACTGATATTTAAGCATTGCTTTGTTAAATATATAAACAATATTTCGATTTTATGTAGATATAATAATGAAATAATCACAATATTAATTAAATAATAAGTTTTGAAAGGCATGATTAATCGCAACAATAAAACGTTATGAAATTTGTCTAGAATTATGTCTGGTATACTGATGGAAAGCGCTAATTTTAAAAACAACCAACTGGTCAGAAGAAGGTAAATGTTCGAATGCTGGTAGACGTAAAAAATAGACTTTGACAGAAAACGGTAATATAAAGAAATCGAGGGGTTGGGGAGAGAAGGCGAAAAATAGGGCACCGGGTCAACCGTCGGGCCTATTGATCCATTAGGGTGCGCGCGTATAATGCAATAGAATTTCTGTAGAGACAACATACTATACTGTACTGGAGACACCTACCGGAAAGTGGAATTATGTGCCACGTGAGTCCGCCGTCTCAAAGCAATTTTAAAGTAAAAATTACTAGGGTTTATTATTGTTTATTTTGTAGAATAAACTTACATAAGTGTTTCGCCTATATGTTCGTAAGAGACGAATATACATTAGTAAAAGGGTTATGGAGAAAAAAATAATGAAACGCTAATAAGATATCCAAGTTTATAAAACATGAATAATACGGGTGCTCACAATATTATTTTATGGAAAAAAAGAACCAAGTAATGTATGGATGAGAGGACTAAATGTTGGGAAGAAAAACAAGATAACCGTTTTAAGATTTTTGGCGGAATTTCAGGATTCTTTCGATTTCTAATTTAAATCAACAACGATTCACACAAATAACATTTCTCATTAGCTCTTTCGAGTCTTACAGATCCATTCTACGTGATATTTCTTTTCTTTTCGAAGTATTTTCCTGCATATCATGCCAAGTACCAACAATAGTTAAGGCATTTTGAATGCATTGTATTTGATTTATTATATTTTATTTTAGAAACTATACAAATTAATATAATTAAAAAATGGCGTTATTAAGTTATTACATTCATTACCATTAACACATAATATTGCGCCATATTATGAATATTTTACATAACTGGTATTTATATAATTTAAGTTATATGAAATCACCAAGTTCAATTTTAAGTATAAATACAAAAAAGTTTATCATGTTCAATACATAAAAAAAAGTTCCTGATATGTTCTAATAAGTTCCTGCATTAGCAAAAAATCTACTACTGAAATACCTAGCCTTAATCAATAAAGGCAAAGTTATTAAAATATTGTTTTAAAAATTAAAATTCCTGTAAATTATAACATAAATTGAGGTAATTATAAATTATTTTTAATCTAAAAATTACTTATTTTTCTTAAGAAAATATTGTACTATTAAAACAATTTAATTTGTGAATAAGTAAATTTTAAATTTTAAAGATAAATGAATTCGAAATTTGATGTAATGGACCAAAAATTGATGGCTTGAAATATGTAGAACTATATTGAACAGTAAAATATTAAAAGGACTCTCCTCACATAAACTAAGTATGGATATCTCAAAAAGATTTTTTCTTACTTATTATTTGATTGAGTAAGGAGAAAAATACATTATCAAAAATGTTGATCTAATTAAGAAAATAACTTTTTAATCAGCATTTTGAAAGTTATTGACATTTTATAAATCTAGGTGGGAGAAAGAGTATGGCAAGTAAATTACTATTGATAAAATTAACAACATCTTCGTTTATTCCATACATCACTTTAAAATAATAACAACTTTTGAAATATGAGTCAAAAAGTTGTTATTAAACTGTGATTTACTTAATTAGATCATTATCTAATAACTAAGATGGTTAATGATGCATGTTATCATTTGAAATATTAAAGTTGATACCCTTATAAGAGATAGATATAAAAAACTTTCAATGAAAAAGTACATGATTGATAAATTGAGAAAAACATTTAACTGATAGAAACCAATGAAAAATTATTATTATTTTTATTTTTCTACTAACTTTTGGCGCATGATAAATGGATCACTCTGTTATGAATATATTCACTAAAAGAAAAGAATTTTTAAAAATATACGGTACTAAACTATGTTATATAAAATAAAGTTCTATTAATCATTGAAAATTATCACTTTGATTAAACAAAATCAACTTTATTAAAATTAGATACTTAAAATTAAAATTCATACATGATTAGATATCTTAAATTAAAAAATTATCTTGATAAATAGTTTTAAGAAATCTACTTCATAATCAAATTTCTAAGTGGTATATATTGAATGAATCATAGTGTATATTTCCACAAAATGTCATGAGGTTTTTTTAATAAAAAACATTGTTCATAGATTCAGTAATAACTATAGGTACTTTATATACAGTGTAATCTGTTTATCATATACCACTCGATTACTCACAAAATAAATACAATATTGAAAAAAAAATTTCGATTTCTTTTAATTACATATATTTTTTGATTTATCAGTTTACTTAAAATACTTTTTAGAATCATCCCTTAAACTTATAGGGGTGTTAACTTTATTTTTCAAATGGCAACATACATCATTTACTAGCTTATTTAATAGATAATGAAGTAATTAAGAAAATGACTAGTCGATAATAGCTTTTAGACCAGTATTTCAAAAGTTATTAATAATTTAAAGTGTGAATAGTGAGCCAAATAGTGGTGAGGAGTGTAGATGCAACTATTTTTGTCATAAGTCATTTCCCTGCCATACTCTTCCTCCCACCTAGTTATAAAAATGAGAATAACTTCTCAAGTACTGGTTCAAAAGTTATTGATTGGATTATCAACCAGTCATTTTCTTCATTACACCATTATCTATTAAATAAGTTAATAAATTATACATGTTGTCATTTGCAATACATATTGCCAACCCTATAAGTTATAGGGGATGATTCTAAAAAGTAATTTAAAGCTGATCAGTTTTACATCCTTTTATTTCTCTAACTTAACATGCTACAGAAGGTGGGATTTTCTTTTACATATTAGGGAGTCAAGATGGTTCTTGGCTAATTCAATGATAGATGGGCATTTTAACCAATTTGCACCAGAGTCCAGATTCACCAATGAGAATATCACAAGAATAATCTCATTGTCAATCTATGGATCAAACTGGGGACCCCGTTCGCCCAAACATATGTTTCTACCAACTAGGCCAGGCCTACCTCTTAATTCATAGCTGATAAATCAAGACATATAAGTAACTAAAAAAATAAAAAAAATGTTTTCTCATTATTGTATTTATTTTGAGAGTAATTAAGTAGTTTACGATAAACTGATCACGTTGTATATTATTTAAAATAATTTTAGATTATGTTAGTCTAAAAATGAAATTTAGTGAGAAAAAATAATTAATTATCCAAATAAACAGAATGAATAGAATAAAAAATATATCAAATTAATATTATTGTATTGCATAAAATACCATGGTTTCATAATATAAATATAAGTCATTTTTTAAAGATATCTATCGATGCGAACAATGTTTATTTAACATTGCAAGACTCTGAATATTTGGCAAAAAACATATTTTAGTGTTTATTTATTTTTATAAATAAAAAAAAATGGTTTTATGACCACAAATTTAATATGAAAAATTAAAAGATTCTAAATTTTAAGTTTTTTAGTCAATAAATATCACAAACTTTAGTAATCAGCAATTGACTAACACTTACATACAAAATTTACAACTAGGATTTTTAAAGTAATGGTTTTCTTTTTAATAACTTATTATTATATATTTAAAATTTAAATTACTATTAANCTTTTTAATAACTTATTATTATATATTTAAAATTTAAATTACTATTAATCATCTACCAAAATGCAGAATTAAATTAATAATAAATTTAAAAAAAATGAATAGTCATTACTATTGTAATCTACATGCATGGATAAATATTACACAAAATAATTTTTTAAACCAGTGATAAATATTATGGACTTTGATAACTGTTCATTTACTCATTTTCAATACAAATGAAAAAAAAAATGTTTTCAATACAAATAACTAACTAAATATTTGAAATTGAAATTTACCTTTGGAAATGTTGCATCTATCTGTCTTTGTAAAGCATTCCTTTCACTCTCAACTTCGGCTAATTGTTTTTCAGTCTCATCTAGTCTTATTTGACTTTTACTGAGAGTATCTAATAATTTATTTCGTTCTTCTACTACAGTATCCATAAATTCATTAATCCGAACATCTTCACCAGAAAATTGGTGGCGTTGGCCAATATTATCTTCAGTGATAGTTGGCATTACATCACACATCATATTCCACATTGCTCTGGTTTAGTTGTCAAGTGTTTTGTAGAAGAATTAAATCATGTTTAGAAAAAATTCTAAAAAAATTGATATTCATAGATTTTAAAACAATGTTTAATTTTAATAAGTAAATAAATTTACTATGGTTACAAGAATCACTATTTTAATTTGAAAATTGATGACTAAAATTAACTAAAAAAAATATATTATTAAAGGGAAATATGAATACAATTAATGTATTTTAATTGAACAAAATAATTCTGCATTACGTTATCACACTTTAAAATCTTCAGATAGAACTTGTAGCTCTTACATGAAACTAGGTATGTTTCGAGAGGGATGTACGAACATTTACAGAAGCATGGACTTTGATTAATGATCTAGTATCGGTTATGAGGTAATTCGTTATCAATGTAATTTAACATCATCGTACGACGTTATCTTTAAATTCATTCTGGCAGGCATAACGTAGATTTTCTTTATAATAAACAAGTATAAAATATGACAAAATACTTACTAATAGTTTTGTAAATTAACAATTGAAAAAATAAAATTCTACAACAGTGCTAGCTGACACTTGGTCTTCAGTACGGGGCGGATATGAATTAGGCGGGCGGCGACGACATATTACATGCCGTCAACATGAACAAATATTGCACTATCACAGTGACGATCGTCGATCCGTTGACTATCAATAGTCCGGGACGGCGATAAGGCACGCCTAGGGACATCGCGTTAACAAAACGGGACGAAAAAATCGAGTAGAATACGACCTATATCGCAATAAACAAAAATATTAACACCATTTGAGTGTAATACGAAGGCGGCGTCTGCGGTGCACGGTAACGCTGGAGGTGATTAATGAAAGTTTTCGGTCACTACTGCGAGTGCTTGTGCTGCTACTTAGTGCTTAGTTGCCGCCGCGGCCATGTTTGCCAATTGCCGTTCGATTGGGGGGTGCGTTTTTTGAAGCTCATGGAAGAAACGTCGGCGGGCGTGCCACTGTTTCCATGAACGGTATAGCACCGACGGCTCGCCAATGTACTATACACCTTTCTTCATAAACCTGTGTGAAGTATGGCGCTATCGAAGAGAAAGACCCTGTAGTAAGGCGTCTAATTATCTATTCAAATAACAAGTGCATAATAAGACGTCCTCAGCTCATAGGTATACAATGGAAAATTCCTAATATTTGACTATCAAAGATAAAATAATACCTCTTTTCTGGTCAAAATAGAACTCTTTTATTTTATCTAGGGTTCAGTGGCATAATCACACCAATAAAAATTAAGTTAAATTATCTAATTCTTCAAGAAATAACAATATTTGATCCAATGGGAGATACTCTGGAATAACTCAAAAATACCTCATTAATCGTGTTATTAGTAGATAGCGAGCACAAAAAATTAGCATTTATCAATAAAATCAGCATTTAACATAAAAAGCGATTAGAGTTAGGAGCTATTAGAATTAATTATATGTTACTTATAAATAGATTCGTTCTAAAGAGAACGGCGCTAATTAAAGCAGCTAAAATATATCTGCTTATATTCACTACATTATAGAAGCTATATAATTTTATAGCAAAGCCTAGGAATTATATGCATTTATAAATTCTGTTAAAATATTCTAAACACACCATCAGTCATTGCAAACTTTTATTAATTGACTTGAAAACTTAGTAATGTGTTGTTACCGAGATTATAGTTTTGGAAGATTAAAGGGTTTATCCCTATCTAAAGCGAAAAATATTTCCGTGTTAATTTCCATAAACTTGGGACTCTTAAGTGTCTCAAACAAAATATATAAATTCATAGGAATTCTATACCTAATTAAAGCCATTAGGCCCTTTTAAAGAATGTCGATTTAGTTAATTAAAAATGAATTTGAGTTGTACAAAAATGGTATTTAAGCAATATAGTTTAAAATTATCAACAGATTTCTCCTGGCATCTGCTAACAAGATTTTAACTTCAACAAAATTAATCCAAAAAAAAAATACCAACATTTAATTGTATAAATAAATTATGCTAAATAGGAAAATCCGGGTAAGTTGACACCCTTAAGCTTTAATTAAATTTTTAAAGAAAGTATTTACTATATAAACTTGACATTTAATAGAAATACTTCTTGATATATTGAAACCAACTTATAAAAAGCTCTTTAAATAATAATTAATTATTTCATCAGAAAAAAAAATTGAATTCAATATCATGTCCACACTAAGATGATTTTTCAATAGAGCAAGTTGATATACCTTAGTTTAATTTATTTTATAATATATAATAAATACATATTATGTATTTCTCAATTAAGAGGGAGTTGTTTCATCCCCTTAAAAATTTTTGGAAGTATTATGATACTTTTATTGGTTCTTCAAGCGATTATAAAAAAAATTGAAAATAAAAATATTGAAACAATCAACCAAGTAAACCCTTTAAGATATGTTTAAAAAATATATGATAATTTAGTATAAAGCAAATAATTATCAGACTCTTTCTTGTTACAATGACTAAACTAGTTTAACTAATTATAAATAATTTATTTATCATAAACGAGATTTTACTAATTTTAATGAGTCACTTAAATAACTCAATAAATTTTTTTGGTGTATTCACTTCATAACTTTATTTTTTATGACTTCTATTTTAATTAAATTTCAATTTAAATAAGTAAATTTTGATATATACAGTAGTATATATATATATTTAATATTTCTTTAATAGTTTAATAAAAATAAATGCACAATATTTTATGATAATGAAAAAAAAAATTTAATTCTTATCCTAATTATTCTTTTTTATCCAGTAAAATGCATATTAATTGACTATCATGTTTTATTTGTCAATTACTTAGAAAGATTATTTTATAACTATTTATTTAATAATAAGGAAAATAAAATTACAAAAAAACTATATTGATAAATATTATATTATAACAACACATTCTCCATAACATTCTAAAAAAAGATATCACATGTATGTATTGAACATTCGTTTCTATACACATACCAATAAGATTCACAGCGATTACATTATGCTAATTTTGAAAATAAATATCTTTTGAAGTTTCAAGTCAACTATTTATTATTATGTAAAATGTAATTCCGTTTATTGTAATCATTTTTAAACAGTTTAATTTACCCTTTCTAGCTCATAGTTAAAGGGATATCAACATTTTTTTATTTGGGGGGAAACTGTAGCCTCCGTAGCAATTGCGTTATAAGTTTTTCATAATTTTTAATAATATTTTGTTTAGGTACTCAATTTTGATTTTAATACCTAAAAAAGGTCATCAAAAATTATGAAACGCTAGTTGATTAGTATTATGAAAAATACATTTTTCAAACAAATTACTATTAATTTGAAATTATTTTACATGTAAGATATCTCACAAATAAGCTACAACAAAATAAGTCAATTAAAAAAAAAAAATGTTAAATATAATTTAATTAATACTTACTGTTAACCTCAATAATAATGAATTAACGTCAGGTTGACAGTGAAAAAACCTTGTCTAATTGTTAGAAGGTAGAACCGACCCCAAATAGTTGGGGTAGAGAAGATGATGATGATGATGATTAAATTAATTTAACCATAATTTAAGTATTCTTAAGAATTTAAGCCAACATGATATTTATATATATATTAATAAACTTTCCGAAATTAAAATATGAAAAATAGTTTTACTTCGCAGTTTCAACAAATGTATGGTGTAAAATTTCTAGTCCCCAACCGATTGTTTTAGCCACAAATGTATTGCACTTCAACATTGATATAAATTCACCTGATATGTCTACAATGTTATACTAAAAAGAGTATTTGACTTGGTTTTAATTTCCTCTAATATCAATCGCTTGTCATTTGCCACATTTTATACAAGATCCACAATATTTTAAGCAACTCAGTTTTAGATTAAAATATAATTCTTGTGCTCGCGTCTTCACTGTCTGTTACAGTTAAACTATTAACTGATAAATTATGTTTTTTGGTAGAGGTGAAAAATAAAAATCTGAGTGTTTATAATGATTTTAAGGAGATACAAAGGGGAAACAAATAAAGCATGTTTATGTTATGACTATGCAAATTAAGAGTGTAGGTTAAAACTAAAATTACCATGTTTGCAGCCTTAGTAACTTATATATTTTGTTTTTAACTTTGAAAGTATTTTCATTATCATAAATTGTTCAATCAAAAGTTCTCATTGGATTTTGAAAAAAAGTCAATAGACTTAATTCATGCATTGTCTTATCATAATGCAAATTGAAAATAATTTATAGACGTTTCTATATACTTTTATAATTTAATGAAAATACATATCGAATTATAAAACCGTCAAATTGTACAAAAATTTCTTTTCTCATAATTGGGGTTTTAAAAGACGGGTAATAACATTGGCTACCGATATAATTTAAGATATTAAAAATGAGTAAATAGTATTCATTTTTTAATTATTGTTACTTAAATTTAATTTTAAACACTAAAAACTGTCAATTCAGATATTTATTATGATTAAATAAATTATTGTTTTTAAAAATTATAAACAATTAATTTTTAATTGAGTTAATAATAATAATAAATATTTTTAATAAAAGTGCGAGGGACTGAATATAATTAATTATGAGAACCTAAGTTATTAACAATAATAAAACCATAAATATGTCAAATGTTTATATTGATGATAATTGATTGAAACAAACATTTCAAGAAGTTTATTTGAATATGAGTTTTATTGATATTATCACTCTCGGTGCGAATCACTATAGATAAAATCTTAACTATTCTGTGCTTGAATATTTTATTATTATACTTAAAATTCAATTTTTATTTTTTAACATTGTAGTTTTAAGAGTAATTAGATTTATACAATAAATTTTTTTGTATAGTATTATACTGTTGTAATATTTATTTGCCAAACTCTAAATTTGATTATCTTTGTAATGAAATACAAATAATATAACGATGTTTACTTAGATACACTAAAGTCAAAATATGTATTTTAACAAAAATTTTAGCTTGTTTATTTATGGAGAATGCGACATGTAATAAAAAATTATACCAATTCGCAGTCAACTCAATAATACGTTAAATATTATATTAAATGATTACCATACATAAATATTTATTTATAGATTAAAAGATTTAAAAAATGTTATTGTAAAATACAAACGCAATGAAACAATACAAATAAATGTCTTTATTAAATCCTATCTGTATAATAATTATAATTATGTAATCAATTAATCAATACATATGTATATATATATTTATAATTTTAGTTTCAAAAATAAATTAATCAAAACGCCATATAATATTATATATACTTAAATATAATATTTCTAAGCGTCTGAAAACATGTGCATTATTTGAAAAAATAAATTAGAAGTGTTACATATAACATCAATTAAAAAAAATATAATATAGATTTTAACACATATCATTATGGTATAAGTTCTTGGTTTATAATTTAACTATTATNTATAATATAGATTTTAACACATATCATTATGGTATAAGTTCTTGGTTTATAATTTAACTATTATGTAGAGATTTCAATAAACAAGTCTGTTAAATAAACATAACATGCTGAATTATTTATTTTACATTTATAAATTTATAAGTAAAACATTTAATATCATTAGTTAGGAAATATAAAGATTATAATTTGTTCAGATACAAATATCAAATCTCGGCTGACATGTTGAGTAATTGAAAAAATATACTCAATTAAATATAATTTGTTGGTATGTGTATGCGTGTCGTGTATAGGTCGTTATAATACAAAGTTATATTTTAATTGAATACTTTTTCTGGTTTCATCAACATGGTACAGAGTTTTGAATAGAATAGAATACAATGTTAAACTTTGAATTATAATAAAAAACGGAGAAGCATAATAAATATAAACAGATTATCACGATCAATGTAATGATATAATATTATAATACAATAAAATACTATGTAATGGTTTTTGATTTTTGGTGTTCCACCGAAATAACTGTGCCAAATGAGCATTACTCATATACAACAATATTTATAATTCAAAAAGGAAAGAAATAAAGAAAAACAACTATTTAAAAATTGTTCAAGTATTAAAAGGGTATTTTACTATAATCTATCTGTTATGGAATAACAAACATGATATCAAGAATGTAATCAAAATCTTAATGCTAATAATAAAAATATATTATTTAATCGTTTTTGTGAGAAAATCGATTAAAATAATTGTTAATTATATTACATCACGTACTATTTTCTTTTTAGGAGTTTGGCCATAAAATATCAATAAGTAATAATATGAATTAGTAAAAGTTAAAAACTATTATTTTAAGCAAAAATCTAAGAAGTTTTAATGAATAACACATTTATAATATGATAATAGCTCATTGGGCACACTTGGTTTAGAAATCAATTGATAAAAAATGATTTATTTATTTAACACAATACTACTATGATATATATCATGATTTTCAACTAATAGTTATAGTTTTTTCTAATTAATGTTTAAAAGATATGTTTTTAATACATTTATGATATGTGTAGGTAATGATTTCTGATATGTATTTGTTTCAATAGACTAACATACAATATTATTCGATATAATTGACAAAAAATAGTATCGGGATGTATAATTTTTTTTTAATAAGGAACACGATGTTGACGAAAATTATCTACACAAAATTCATGATTGAGTAACAAATAGTAATAGTCCATTGGGTTTAAAATTTAAAGTACATGTATAAGATGAAGTGAGGTAATTGTAAATACATTTTTTAGGTAAATTCACATGTTTTTATTTCCATTTAATATGATAGCAGTACATATAAGGACCGAAACTTTTCAGTCTAAAATAAAATCTGCTAAATATTCTAAAAGAAAAAATGAATTTACAATTACCCCTTTTGTTTACATTTACCACAGTTCACTCTATATATATATATGCATATATATATATATTATAAGATATAAAAATTGGAATGTAATACTTCGGCTTTGATAAAATTAATTGAATGACAAAATTTTTGCTTAATCAAGAAATCCTGTGTTGACCAGTTTTTCGAGGAAAAATTTAACGTCCCCTAATTCTGAGTCTTTAATACCTAAACTCTTCAACATACCAATGTCACCGTTTTCCACAGCAATAAACACCGAACGCAAGTGCTCCAGGTCCGACCTCATTAGATGTAATGCGGCTCCAAAATCTTCGATCGTTTGCGATTCTGTAAAAAGACAATATAAACAAAAAATTATAGTACAGCTTAAGGTGATTGTAAATCGGTATATAAATATTTAAAAAGGTTTAACTGAGATAATCATTTTATAAAATAAGGTTTTATAGGTATGAGTTTTATGTATTTAGGTCTCCCACAGTCTTAAAAAACTTGTTTTTATCGCACTTTATACAGTTTGAAAAACTGATAAAAAATGTTACTCTAAGAATAGTTAATTTTAAAAAATATTAGCCAAAAGTAATCAATTCTTGTTATATTTAAAAATTAGTTATGTTAGTTATGCTTATGTTTAATTGTAAAAAGCTATATATCCAGTTCATATAAACGTAATGTGATTTTTTAGGATTTTATGCGATAGTAAATGATATATTTTTTCTGGAATGAATTTTTATGGTAGTGTAGAAGATAGACTTTTGTGAATCGCTTAAACGAAATGATCCGTAATGTCGACTTTATGGAAATTACCGTTGTGTAATTTGAATATATTAAGGGAAAAGAGGAAGATCAGGGGTGGTATTAGGTCTCAGTAGTTATTAATATGTTATAAAAGAACTCTCATTTGAATTTCGTTTATTATGTACTCTTTATTGTCATTAAAAATGTCAAAACACTAACCTGAAAGTGTGATTGCAACTTTTTCAACGCCACCCAATGGTTCCAAAGCGTCTCTAGCTTTGCTACCAAACAATTTTTCCAAGTAGTTTGGTCCGTGGCTAGCTAATAAAGATTGAAGGAAACTTGATGTCTCTTCGACCGGAGGTCGTTTTGCTGAAAATGTAAATAAAACATGAAAAAAATTAAAAATGTATAATTTTAACTTATGAAAGATGTTTGAGATTCATACAAATTGTAATTTAACAACAAAACATATAATTTCATAAAATTTCAATTTTTTTCATCATTATCAAAATGTTGCATAATTAAAATATTACCTTAACGATAAAAATAAAAACTAGTTCATCAGTTGTTATCAAATGCTTGCCTAGTAAAACTTTTTTATGGGTTAAAAGTTTTATAATTGGGCTAGTTTGTTTAAAAAAATAAATAAATAAATAATATGAAGAAAATGGTGTTTAAATAAGTTTAATAACACTTTATTCTTCATTTTATGTTTTTAAGTTTTAAATAAAATTAGAGTAGGTAGTTCATTACGGTTTATTTAACATATGAATGCACCTTGATAAAGTTGAAATTTTGTTATAGTTAAATATGAATAATATAATAAATTCCTGTTGGCACATAAAGGAAAGAATAGATTTTATTTAAAAACAAGCTACAAGTTTATTGTCGTACCCCAAGGTGACAGTTATTTTAGGTGACTTGAAAAACTTTCTGTCAACATAAAGTAAATGGACTTTTGAACAACTTTTTTCTCTTTTAAAGATATATTTTTCACATGAAATATATTTAGACACAAATTTTCTAAAAGGTAAACATTTGTTTCTGTTATACTACAATAATAATCAATCAAATTTATCTACTAAATGTTTTTAAAATATTTGTGAACGTTATATAAATATTATTATTTTTATTTTTTCATTTGCTACATGATAATTTTTATAAAATAAATTTGTTATTAAAAAAAAAAAAAAAATGAAAATGTAACAGAAATCATAACCTTTTAACAACATTTTTGTTACGCATGCACTTTTTACCTTTTAAAACGAGATAAAAAATGTTTAAAAATATTAGTATATTTTAGCTGAGACTCATATCACACCTAACTCAGTAATGTTGCACACTTAAGGAAAATTGGCCATAAAATCTACAATAATTAACTTCGAGAAACAAATTTTTTTTTTAAATATTTACTCACTCATCTATCTCATAGCTAAACATATAATTCATATCCTTTTTAACTTTTACGCACATTGAATATTTTACGTAGTTACAGACTTTACAAATTATAGTACTGGCGCTTTAATGAATGATAGCAGATAATTAATTTTTAACAATAATGAGTAGCTCTAATACTTTCGAAGATGTTTCGTGAGGCATAGTTAAGGTTAATTACTTTGTATTATGTAATACAGAGTGATTCAGGTCTAACTGGCATTCTTACAACTTTTGTTACAATTAAATTTTTATTGTGAGATATTTTTTTAAATAATTTATGGCTACGTTAAAATCATATTTTAGTTTCGACACGAAACTAAAAAGTTATTAATATTATCACGATGTGTTTATTTAACTTTTTTTTTTTTATCTGTCACTACTTTTTCTCTACTCTCACTAGACCGATTTTCCTCAACAATACGTCAAAAAATCACTAATCGTATCTAGTTGAAAACATTACACTGAAAAATTGAAAAAAATCCGACTTTATCAAATAAAAAGTTGTCCCTGATTGTGATTCGGCGATCGTTCATAACTATTTCTTTCAGTTTTTCCACGTTTTCATCGGTTATTGATGTGTTAGGGCGTCCGTCATCTTCAACGTCTTCACGACCCACCTTGGAAAAGCTTATACCGCTCGTAAATCCTTGTTTTACTCATGGCAGACTCACCATAGCCCTTCGTAAACATTTCATGCACTTTGTTACTCTTTATTCTTTTTTCTTTATGCAAAATATGATACAAACTTTTTGATCCATTATTTTTAACAAACGAAAATCGACGAGCTCATAAAAACACGTCTAACCTTAGCGGCTGCCACTGACAAAGTAAAATATGAATTCAGCTAAATATTTTATCATACTTCAAGAACATGTATTCCTAAAGTATGATAAACAATTTTTTTTTTATAAACAGACTCTCCAAAACCGTGAAATAAAAGAATTCCCGTTATATTCTGAACTCACCTCGCATATGGTCGAAATATGATTGATATGATAATGAGTTTCAACTACAAAGTTGAATAATCTTACTTTGTTATTTATTAAATTTTAAATTCTGTGTGTTTCACTAAGAGTCAATAATATTCCAAATTTTTTCAGAACATGTAACTGTATAAATAATTTCTAAAAAAATGGATTTTTATAATACACAAAATTGAGTAGATCTTTTTAACAACTTTTTGATTATTTTTTTAATTTTATTATTTATTTTAATATCGATACAAAACTAGGAAGGTATTAGTCTTGTGATACTGTGCATTTTTTTTATTTTTGTTTATAAAAATTCTCAGCTCTTACTGGACCAATTTAGATGATAATTACACGTCAAATAAACTGCATTTAATCCAGTTAAACTTATAGTCATCAAATATTGGAAAAAATCTTAGAAATTTAGACAAATATCTACTGTAAAAAATGACAACTTCATAAAAAACTTTTTTTAATTCTATATCTCCACAAATAATAAGAGTTTACAATTCATTTTTATACTGAATTACACAGTAAAATCATATCACTAATATGAAATATTTTTTAATCAGCATAGATCAAAATATTTTTTGCTATGCCACTTATTTGTGCTGATTATAAATTTGCAATTAGATTTTTTCCATCGCCTCTTTTTTTGAGATTATTACTAATTTATAAAAACGAGGATTTACATTTAAAAGTTGACTTTGATTTTTAATATATTAAAAATAATCCGTGTAAAATTTTGATTCAAAATATCACGTTTAACCAATTTTTTTGTCCTTAAAAGTTGATTTTTATGAAAGTTTATAATTAAAAAATGTTGAAATTTTAAACAATATTTTAGTTTAACTTGCAAATTTGAAATTAATATCATTAAATAGAAAATTTTTTGAAGAATTAAAAAATGGTTTTGTTTAGATAGATAAATGGTCAGGAACTAACACGATTACTGTAATAGTACAAATATGAAAAAACTTAAAATTTCGTTAAATCACTAAGTATAAGTTTTATATTTAAATGGTAATAAATAATTTCAATATAAATACTTATCATTTCTATGTACTTCTTTGTGTTTAAATAGATGTTACAACTGAAATATTTAGAACTGTATTTCATACTTTGTTTCACTTATGATTTCGTCACTGTTGTGTTGTTGAATTTAATTTTAACTTAATTTTTTTGATTATTTTTTTATATGTTAATACTAATTTTTAACTGATTAGTAATAATAAAAAAAATAATTGGTGATAGGAAAAATCGAATTGCAAAATTGAAATCAGCGTGAAAAATTAACCAAGAAAAGTATATTTTTGACTCTGATAAAAATTCCTTATATACCATTTATACCTAATTATTTTATGAAGTGCTTTGTATCAATTCCTTCAATTTTTTATAAAAGTTTGCTGTAAAATTAACAACTACTTTATAATTTTTTATAATCTCTGCGTAAGAATTACAATGCTAAATGATTAAATATCAATTTCATACTATATTTAATTGCTATAATTAATATTTATTCATGTATTATATTTATAAATCAAGAAACTTCTAATCAGAAATAATGATGGAAATCTGAATTCATTTTGCTTTTGGAATAAACCACCAATTTCTTAAAATTAAACACTTGCTACAGATTTGCATTAAAGCATTTCTTATGATAGTAATTTTAGTCACTGTCAGATAGATACCATCTATGCTTTTCCCAAATAAGCCACGTCCACAGTGTGTTACCGTTTTTCATAAAAATCTNCACAGTGTGCTACCGTTTTTCATAAAAATCTGAAACTTTTTACCTACCCACAAAAGAAGATTCAAAAAAGCAACTTTTCCAAAATAACTTTTTCAACTTAAGTTTTAAAAATGATCCGGAAACACTCCGAGCTTCAAACACATGTTTAAATAAAGCTTATGTTATGTACTATAAGTTCAAAAAAAAAAAATTTTTCTCAACGAATTATCTTCTATGTGAAAATGGTTGCCGTAGTTAAAAGACATGCAATTTTTGTGGTAAAATATTCGATTTTATATTTTATATTTTTAATTTTAAATTGCTATAACTTTTTAATAATGTTTCAATCAACACAATTTTTTTTATGAATACCCCTTTTATTTGAAATTATTTTTTGATAATCTGACATCTTCCCCTTATACAGGTGGCGTTCAAAATTTTAAATGCCCGTTTAAAAACTAAAAATTTTTTCAACTTAACATTTGAATAATTTTAGGAAATATTCTGAGCTTTAAAAATATGTCAAAGTAAAGCTTATGTTACGTATTATAAGTTAAAAATAAAAATTTATCCCAACGACATATCTTTTATATGTAAGTAACCCCTTAAGTTAAGAAAAAAATCATTTTGATGTAAAAAATGTAAAATTTTTTCTATTTTTAGAAAAATATTTTTTTATGATAGTCCTATAGAAGGGTAGAGGTAAATACCCTATTTAACCCCCTAAATTCAGATAAAAAAATACAGAACTATTCTTTTAATAGCAATCGATAACCACTCTTATCCACTCTATTTTTCTTAAAATAATAACATGTTAAGAAAATCCTTTTTGATATTATTTATTTTCATATATTTCTCGATTCATCGGTCATTATAATTGTTTTATTTATACTTTAAGTCTTTATAAGGGCATCAACATTTTAGCTTCGATGCAAAGGTGAGAAGTTATTCATTTTACAATGATGTGTTTTTTTTGTGCCTATCATTCATTTTTCTCAGTTCTCGATGGGACAATTCTTATCAACGATACATAAAAAGATCACAAATTATATCAAGTGGAAGACATTAACCCCAAAAATTGAAAGAAAAAATTCCCTCATTCTCTGTAAATGAAAGAAATCCATACACTTTTTTTTAAAACTGTCATAACCGTTTCCACGGACAGTTGTGCGTGCTTGTAGTGTTCCGCTCTTAATGTGGCTATTCTGTTTGCACACTATTTAACGTGTTTACGCGGTCGTGTAATTAATAATGCTTATTAGTGTTATCAAACAACGCTAGGTCGTTGGATACATTGTATGCTTACTGTGCATCGTACATTGTGTACAACCGGTTTCAAAGCCGTAAAGGACTGTACTTCTGTATTCGGTTAGTTGTACTATCTCTCTATGCCAAATAATAATATTATACACACTTTCATATGGCCAAAAAAAACCTTTAGTACCACATTTTACAAATAAATAAATAATATTTAAGTGTTAATTGTCAATATTTTCAGAAAGCTTTTTTGTAGCTTTTAATGTCCATACAATAAATATATTAAAAGAAAAGGCACACTGTCATATATGGGAAACACATAACAAAGATAGTTATTTATTTTTTTATACAAACATAATTTCAACTCGTTAGTAAAAACATTAATTTGCCCAGTCTTGTTTATAATTTTGATACGCTTTGCTATGGAGGTAACGAAATAGACAATAACTATATGTACATCCGTAAAAATTACAATACTAAATTATTGAAGGCAATTTCATATTAAATTTAATTTCTATAATAAGTATTTATTTCTGTATTACACTCATACATCTTTGACAACAAGTATTTGCCATCAAAATATAATTAAGAAAATAGAAGATGATTTGCTTTAGGAATAATTCAACAGTTTCTTCTTAAAATCTATAGATTTGCATCGAAATGATTTTATTTTAGTACTTAGGATAATCACTGTCAGATATAATTTATACTTGTCCAAACTATACTATATCACCTCTGTGCTGGGTTTTTGTTATTTGTTTTGCGGGGGAGGGGGTGATATAATGTAATCATTTCATGATAATAATGTAAAATCACCAAAACTTAACTAGGCCCTAATACCACTTACCTTAATTAATTTATAAAAATGATTTTAATCACTATCAGATTTTATCTACAATTTTCCCAACTATGCCGTCTCCCCACTGTGCTGTTTTTACTTTAAATGATTGTTGTACTTTTACACTATGTTTAAAGCGTATTTTTTATTATATATCACTAATAAGATAAAAATAAAATGTTTTTTCAGAATTTAATAGCTATTTTTTCAGATAAAGATTTAAAAAAAAGATTTTAAAAAATGTTGCTGAGTTGATAACTTTAGGATAAGTCCTAATTGAGTTACAAGCTTTTATTATATTAAATGGGTATCTAATGCGGGTGAGTACAGTTCGTTATGGTGTTTAATTATAACGCATACCTGACCCGCACTATGTACCCACTCAATGTATTAAAATGCTTATAACTCGATAAAGTAAAGTGCTTATTGCAGTGTTATAAGAGTTGTCATCTAGTTCAGCCTGTTTGTAATTTAATATATTATATATTTACCTGCAGTACACAGCCTCGCGTCTTCGTCGTATCCATCTGGACAATCAGGAGCCCCATCGCATAGGTACTGGATTGAAATACAAGCACCGTTTCCTGGGCATTTAAAGGGCTCGTAAGGATGGCAAGGTTCACCTAAAGAAAATAAATGTATAGTATTTATTTAAATATTTTATGACAAAAATAAATTAGCCATTTTCATGTAAGACATACAGATTGAACGATTATGGGTAAAACACTAATTTTTTCAGAACCCAATAAAATATTTAATTTTTATAAAAAGACAAATATTGGGTTCAATCAACTCTACAATTTTTTGTAGTCAAATAATTTTTTTTTATTTCTTCAGGAATAAAAAATTTAATTTTAATTTTCTTTAATGGTGACTCCTATATCAATTTAATATGATAGAAAGAAAAATTAAGAATAATATTGTTTCATAATTTTCTTAATTCGATCCATCTCTCATCTGTTATAGCATGTTAAAGTTTGGTAATGTAAGATGAATTTGCTAATATTTCATTGTTATAATCAAAAAAACTTTATTTCTCTATTTTGTCATATAAACTAGCTTTTATTGACTAAATTATTATCTAACGTTTTAAAATGTAATCTTTAAGTATTTCATTTTTATTAACAGTTGCACGAAGCGTGAATAATTTATATTGATAACCATCATAAAAAAATATTTATGACTATTGATTATTGTTGCTTCGAGAATTAAAATAAAAAAACAAAAATAATGATGAATTTTTACTTTAAATCCAAATTATGAAATCATAGGTCAAGTTAAAATTAGGAGTTTCTATTTATAAAAATTACAGTTAAAGTTCTTTTATTCCTGAAAGAATTGATAAAAATAATTGTTTGACTACGTGATATGATAGAATTTTTTGAACTAAATAATTTGTTTTTTAGAAAATTGAAAAATTTAATAGTTTTTGAGAAATTAATAAAAGAAAGAAAGCTTGTTAGTAATGTACTAATTCAAAAAAATGAAAGATTTTATAATTATAACAAACAATAAATTTACTCAAGTTTTTTTAAAAATTTTGTATAGTAAAAACTATTCAAAAACTAGTGAGAAAATTGTTAGATGATAACGATAACACGACATTTATGTATTTCTTAATTTTAAAATACGTGCAAAAATTATTACTAATACATAAAAATTATTAAGTAATTCATAATGTTTAAATATTCTGTATAGCTAAAATGTCATGGAAAAGTCGTAAATAATTTTTTAATGTATTAAATAAAATACTTTAAGATAACAATATTGACATAAGAAATTGCCGTTGTCAGTCTTACGATAATGCAAGTAATATGTGTTGAATATACTCGTCAGTTCAAGCTCATTTTAATGAGTGAACAAATAATTTGAGTGGGTTTTTTGTGCTGCCTATAGTTTAAATTTAGTATGATCCTGTTACTGTTGAATGTTGTTCTGAAGCCATTAAATATTTTAGTGTGTTCCAATCAATTTATACGTTTTTGTCAGCATCATCCCAAGATGGTTTATAATGTTAAAAATATTAAACTATTTGATTTTATAGTAAAAAGTTTATCTGAAACAAGAAGGTCTGCGTATAGTGATGCAAATAAAGTATTGTCACTTAATTATGACGATATCCGTCAGACATTAATTGATATTTCATTATTAGAAAGTTAGGTTCCTAATACTTTTAATGAAGCTAAGTCACTTGTTAAAAAACTAAACCGTTTTGAAAATGTTCTCATGACTATTATTTGAAAAGATATTTTATAACAAGTGAATGTTGTAAACAAATTGTTACAAACACTAGGTAAGATCTGTACAGTCGTTAACCTTATAATGGTCTTCTATTATGTTTTAAAAATATGATCAGTGTCAAAAAATTTCATTTATTTGGAGAAAAAGAAAAAGAGTTTCTTGTTTATCTGATTGTTCTGAAAAAGAATCTAGACAACGTATACATAAAGTTCATAAAGTCTTGGTAAATGATGGCAACGCAATTGTGTGCTGTAGATCAAATGGTTGCTAGAGACAAATCCAAAATTTAAACATTTTATGTAATATTTGAGAAATTGATTGTAGAAATGAAAAAGCGAAAAAGAGGTTTATTAAGATTAAACGAAAAATTAAATTAAAAGAGTTATTGAATTATTTGCAAACAAAAAATGTCACAAAAAAGTTTTTTAACTATATTTTAAATGTTTTTTAACAAATTAATTTAAATATTATGGAGTAATATTAATTGTTTTTATGATTTGTAAAAACTGTTAACTATAAAAAAGTTTTATGTTGTAAATATTTTTGTTTATAAAAGCTTAGCACTGAGATGCATGATTTTTTTTTCCAAAAAGAAGGTTTATTAACCATTTAAATACTGTATACTAGACAGGTTAGCGTATTGGGTAGTATTAGCATAGACACAATAACTTTGTGCCCAGGGCCTAAGTGTTCATCCGGGCCTGATTCTGTATATAACAACTTTATAAGTTTTTTTAATTAAAAAATAACAATATTAAATATCAATTTGATATAAAATTTAATTTCTATAATAAATACATATTCATTTATTATACATAAAACTTATAAAGTCAAGTCTTTGTTTTTCCTTTTTCACCTATCTACTCTCGTCCTCGACATTTCAGAGAATTCGTGTGTTGCACTTGGTCTGCACTCATATTCGGCTACCCCCGTTCTTTATTCTCTGCTATACCTAAAGTATTTGTGTCTTGGACTTTGTCTACACCTCATACTTTGGGCTCCTTTTGATTACACCTGGTATTTGTGTTTTGCACTTCGTCTGCACCTCATACCTAGGTGGTACCCTTATTCCCTTCCTATAACAACGGCCTTTCGACACCCACAGCTAATCCGGAGTGTCAGCCGAGCACCTGCTGTATGATCGTGTACGTGAATATACCCAGGCAGCAGACTCAACGTCATCTTCGTACACACTACACCTCTCTACTACTCTTTCCGTTTGGGTTTTGTTTTGTGTTACGACACTTATTTATCAATATAAAATATTTATGTACTCGTATTAGTTAATTAAGTTTCTTTTATGTCTGTCGCTACTTTTTCTGAGCTCTCACCTGACCGATTTCTTTCTACCATACGTCTAAATATCACAAATTTTTCTAGTTGAAGACCTTGCCCTTAAAAATTGAATATACTGCATTTTTTAAATATAGGTTAAATTAAAGTTTATGTTTCGTAATATATAAATTAAGAAAAAAATATTGTTCCGACGACTTATCTTCTATGTACAAATAAATAACAGTCGAAGATGAACAAAAAATAGGAGTTAAGTTTTCTTATGAAATGATCCACGTAAAGTAACAATTACTTTATAATATTTTATAATTTCTCCGTAAAAATTACCATAGTAAATTTGTTAAATATCAATTTCATACTACGTTGAAATGCTTTAATAGATATTTAATCATATATTATACTTATAAATCATAGAACTACTAATTAGGAATAATGAAGGATATAGGAGTCAATTTTTCTTTTGAATAATACACCATTTTTTTTTTTAATTAAACAATATCTACAGATTTGCATTGAAGCGTTTCTTGTGATAGTGATTTTAATCACTGTTAGATATCATCTAAAATTGTCCAAACTATGCCATGTCTTTTGTTTTTATATTTTTACTTCTATATTTTATTATTATGATGTAAACTGGTGATGATTTGTTTTTAAAGCGATATATTTTCCTTTGAGACTTAACTCAGTTGACATCTCATGAATTTTTTATCTATTTTACTCAATGAAAAGTGATGCTGACAATACACATTCCAGGCGAGCACGACTTGTGTATACAAATTATTGTCAGTCATATTTTACACTAAAAACTTAAATAGCTGAATTATCAATTCTATACTGTTATCTAAATTAAAATTTTTATTATAATATTGAATCGTAAAGTTACTATGTAACAATAATAAAAAACCAATTCATATTAAATACAAGTGTTGATTACTATTTGATAAAGCAAACTATCTACTACTATTATTAACTGAAGCACCTTTTTAGCATAAGATTGATATTTGCTGAAATTATTTATCTTGGGAATTGATTAGTATAACATGGTATTTCATTATCATTGATAGTGCATTAATTTGAATGTTTAAGTAATACAAATTAGAATAATTACTCCAAAGTAACCAAAGGAAGTAACTTTTTTTATTAATTCTATTATTCAAAAAGTTAATATTAAGCTTCATTGGTTTAAATTATACATTTAGTACAAAAATTGTTCACTTTATAAAAATGTACGTTTAAATAATGATAAATAATTACAACTTTATATTAATCTAGAAAAAAGCATGAAAAATTAGCTAAATATTTACTTTTAGCTTCGATGCGAAGCTGAGACGGTATTGGTTTTACTATGATGTGTTTTTTTTTATTTTTTTTTTTTTGTGTCTGTTACCACTTTTTCTCAGCTCTCACCGAACCGATTTCTTGCAATGATACGTCAAAAGATCACAAATCGTATCTAGTCGAAGACATTACCCTCAAAAATTGAAAAAATTTCCCTCGTNGTATCTAGTCGAAGACATTACCCTTCAAAATTGAAAAAATTTCCCTCGTTCCCCGTAAATGGGGGAAACCTCCAAAAAAATTACAAATTTAAAAATCACTAATTTTCGAAATTTTTTCAATTTTTTTTACTAAAAACTGCCGTAACTTTATCAAAAATAAACATATCAATATAATTTTTTTCTGACACTTTTATATATATCTTAAATTAAAGCTAATGTAATATACTTTATTATGAAAAAAAAAAATTTGACCTCTGGACTTGTCTTCATGGTGAAAATGGCTACCAAATGCTATTTTTGTGTGAAAAATCTCGATTTTATTTTTTACATTTTAAACTTTATAATGCTATAACTTATTGAAAAGTGTATGGATCAATACAATTTTTTTATGAGAAATAATATTTTTTAATAATCCCTTTTTTATTCGACATACTTTATCTTAATCAAGATATTAATAAGGAACTAGCATATCATATAGCTTTTGGAATAATACACCAATTTTTTAAAATTAAACACTATCTAAAGATTTGCATCGAACCGTTTTTTTTTTTGATAGTGATTTTAATCACTGTCACATATCATTATACTTGATCCAATTATGCCACGTCATTACTGTGCCGCGACCCCCCTGTGCTGGTTTATTTTACTATGCCATTATCAAATAGAGAAAATAAAATAAAAAAATTATCTATATTTAATGAATCCAGTAAATCAATACAGTCGCCTGAATAAATCTTTTAATAATTGAGTTCTTCTCACATAAATTTGAATTAAAGTGCCAAAAGGGTATTTTGTTTCCATTATTATGCGCATCCAATAAAAATACCACATCAAATGTTTTATTTACTTTCTTTCAATTCAAAAGTATTCTATGAATTCTCAAATATTTCAACCATAAACGAATTCAATTGACTTAAAATATATTTAAGTAAAAAGATTTATATAAATCAGCTAGTTATATGAACAAAAATATTAATTGTTCAGCATCAGTTTGTCAATGATTGTGAGTAAAAAATATAAAATGAAAATAAAAAATAAAATTCTATATAATTTTTCCATAAAAATTTAGTTTCAGTTACATGTAACAAAATCATTATTATGATTTTTATTATGAATTAAAATTATATAGAATATATTCTTATATTATATTTAAAAAAAACTACAGCTGGATTGCGATAAATTTTCTTGTTTCATAGAAATCTCTTTTTTTTTGTACAAGACTTAGTTTTTAGTAATTTGCACATTACTTAACTCTGATATACAGGGTGATTTTTTTATCATAACCCACTCAATTACTTGCAGAATAATAATAATTTAAACATTTTTTTTTTTTATTATCTTTAGTTACACATTATTCTTGAATTTTTAACTATGTAATACTTTTTAAGTTCATCCCTTATGCCTTGGAGGGGGGTCAACTTTGTTTTTTTAAATGGTAACACATATTTTTAATTTAATAAAATGTTTGAGTTTTTAATTTAATAGTAAATGGCATTTGAATTTTTAATATAACTTTATTAGCTTATTAGATATAAACATTTAAAGTTTCAAAATTTTGAGTTAATATACATGTATAATACACATGGGATTGTAAATACAGGTAGCTAATTGGATTTTTATAACATCGATATTAGCAGGTACACAGCATTGTTATTATCAATTGTAGTAAGACACATTGTTATTAGTTTATAAATACACTAACTGACAATACAGAAAGTATATCTATTAATAATCATAATTGATAATAAACAATCCGTGACTGAGACAGCAATGTCATAAAAATCCAATTAGCTACCTGTATTTACAATTCAATATAATTTACAATTATAAGAAATGAGGCACGGACATTAATATTTATATTACAAGCTATTTCTATATATATATACTGATTATTTGGCGCAATAATTTATTAACATATTATTGCAATCACATTATTTGTATTTTTTCCAAATATCATTAAATGTGATTAAGTAGTATTCATTCGGTAAGTTATAAAATTTCTTTTTTTAATTATTATTTATGTACCCTTAATCAAGAAGTTGACATTTTAAAATATTATCCAATTAATTAAAAAGGTTTAAAAAATTGTGTTTTCTTTTTATAAATATCAAGTTAAAAGGTAAAATCAAAATGGCGTGAGTTGTTTACGTTATACCATTGTGTGGGGTATAAATCAGAATATTTGTCATAATAAAAGTGTAACAAAAAATTATACAGAGTGTTCAACAAGTAAGGAAACAGGTCAATTGTTCTCATTGTTTATAACAATGTACCTGTTTCCTTACTTACTGAACATTCTTTATATATTTTTTTTTTTTGATGCAACATGTTCGGGTGATGGTATTTTCTTTTAATAAAAAACAAAGACAATTTTGTAAATATAAGTGTTGAAGAGTTATCATTTACTTAGATGATGATAAAGGATTTATATAAAACATTTTTGTTCATCTCAAAAAATCTATGAACATTCTTTAAATGTTATCATTTTCTTTACACATTCTATAATTGTTTTAGGTTTCAGTAAATTGATCACAATGGCACGATATTTTGGCTCGTTATAACGAATATTGTGTTTGTAACGTTTGTTGGCCCTTGGGGAATAAACGCATCAAAAGCATACCAAGACTTACCGGTAAAATATAATGGTGGGAAAACTCTATATATATGTACATATGTGATAATTCAGCTTTGATGTTACTTCAGATAAGTAAAAACATATTTATGTGTAATTTCCAAGAGAGTTGGGAAACAACTGAATTTTGATTGTAATTCTACCATTTGTTGTTACCGACTAAACGAAGAAATTATGTGCATAAGGAAATAAACCGAGATGAACGAAATTTTCTTAGCTATTTACAAGGAATCAGTTTAAGAAATTAATTATAAATAATTGTATAATTTATGTTCTAAAATTGTATGTAACTTTTAAATAAGTCAATGTTTGACGACGCACAACTAATAAGTTATTTCAAAACAAATAGTAATTAAAATGGTTTTATTACTCAATAAAAGACTTAGCCACGAAATGAATCGATATTCTCGATATACGTTAGCCATTTTTGAATTTGTTATTAACAAAATATTGTTCATTTGATCGTAAAACATTAATTGCGTTTTTCCTATGGAGTTTTATGTGTCATTCATATTAATGTCTTTATTTAAGTTGGTTAAATTATGACCATTTTATATTAATCAACCTTATAGCGCTAATTCAAACATGTTAAAAGAGTTTTAGCATTTATTTATACAGTAATCAGTAAGTAAGGAAACGGGTTTCTATTGTTACCATTGTGTTTAACAATTAACATGTTTCCTTACATACTCTGTATACATAATATCTTAAGACTATTCAGTGATAATCTAGTGGCACAACTAGAATAATATTACTAGCGGGTGCTAATTAATGGAAGATTAATTTTACCCTAATAATTATAATATATAAGTATTAATTAATAAATACATTTTTTACATTAAATAAATATCTAACATAATAATAATAATGTTGGTGATTTAAAATGGTGAAATTAAATGTTTAAACCTCAGTGAGTTTTATTTATTATTTTTTGTAAAAGATAAAAATACGTAAAATACGTAGTTATATTATATTTTCTTATTATATATAAGAAGATTTATTCTGTGAATTAAAAATTACTTAAAGAATAAACGTATACTTAGTCTTTTTACGATGATGAACATTTAGCTTTTAAGAATTTCGTGTACTCGGAATTGTGTTCAGCATTAAAAATTTAAATGTTTAAATATTCATTAGTCATTCATTACACGCGAAAATGAAAAAAATAAATGAATGAGAGTGTTGAATGGAGTAAGCGCTTATTTACATAATATAAACAACATTGGAATAAGTTTTTTTATTTTTGAAGCAACTTTTTTTCATTATATTAAAATTAATTTCAATGTTTTAAGATTTTAAAAATAAAATTGCTTCTGTTATACTTAATTTTACAGTTTTATCGCGAGTTCATAACAAAAAATAATAATTTAAAAATAAATAATTTGTAATAAAGTTATGGACCACGATAAATTATGATTTTAAAATATCAGAATCTACATATTAAATTGATGTAAACGGGTTTTTTCATGATGTTCTAACAAATGTATATATTTATATTATGGTAAATTATTATAACATGTGGACCTATATAGAAATTTGTTCTTTTTTTTTTACATGGTCAATTTTACGACACTAAAGCTTAATAATATCAACCAAATTTTCAAATCAATTATTTAAAAAGTTATGTAAATTGAGCAATTATTTATATGGCGGGTTTTATTATTAAAATTCCAGAATATATAAAGTTAATCTATTATTCATAAACATTAATAAATTACATTTGTTTAATTTTAACAATAAAATTATTTTTTACATTTTCTAATAACATTATTGATTGTATAAAAAAAAATCAACCTGTTTTTATTGAATAAAACTAGAATATGGACAAACAACATAATGTAATTAATTAAAATAAAAAAGGAAAATTTAATTTATTAAAATCTCCTAGCAACTCAATTCTCATGAAAGTTTCTTATTTTTTTTCCATTAGATATACTAAAATTATTATTTACAGAAGTTATTTCCATTTTATGTCTGACTTGAGTTTTCGATAAATATTTCCTTAATATAAATTTAAATTGATGTAGTTTTTTTAACAGTAAATTCTAAAATCCAATTAGAAATAATACAATCTTTTAATACTTAGATTTTTTAAGAAATTGAAAACATTAATATTTATGACGAAAGATTTTGATGCAATTCAATGTGATATGAGAGGAAAATATTTTAATACTTAACAGCATGATTCAAAAATTTGGCTTTGAAAAAAATTGTATTCTAGAACAATCATAAAGTGCCCATACTTTTATGTATCTTAATTTGTACATGCCAATTTGATAGAGAACACCGGCAAATATCAATTATATACCATTTATTAGCCAAAATGTTATCCTTTTTTGTTATAAAAAAACGGATGAAAAATTACAAAAAAAATAAATAATACATAAACATGATATTTGACGATAATCTTGAGAAGTTTTCTAAACAAAAAACTAAAAAAAGGTTTGTCAACACTAAAATAGAAATTGTCATTTACTTTCATATAAGTACTATTACTGATAAAAGGAATTATTGTTTTTTGTTTACTAGTGAATTTTGTTTAATTCATTATTTTATGAAAAGTGTAGGTTTAAGGCATAATAGAATATTTTCGGTGATTTAAATTATTAAATAATTCATTTGTATAACTAATGAATAAATTAAGAATCAATATAGTTTAACTATAAATTATTATACTAATAAGTATTTTTTTATTTGAACAAGGTATGGGCTCGGAATTTTATTTCTAGAATGAAAGTCAAATACTCTTATTCTGGTATGATTGTTTTCATTTTTTTTCTATTAAATATATATATATATTTTTACTTAGGGATACAAATTATAACTTCTCATAAATATGCGCGTTATGGATATAACTGAAATTCATAATTTTGTTCTACTAAAACTCAAATCAAAAATAGTGAACATGAATTGCAATAGTTATGCGTTCCGGTAAAATTGTACTTGATAAATTAATTGACATTCAAACAAAACTTTTATATGAACTATTAAAATATTTTTTTTAATTTTATGTAGGATTTATGTGTTTATATATGTATACAATTTTATTGTATTGTCTTTTGATGTTAAACCTTAAGTAAAATTGACACTTCAAATAGTAGGTCAGGTAACTTTTAAATTGTTATTTATAACTCTGTTCAATCAGTGATAGATGTTAGTTTTTATAACTTACAAAGAACTCACTTTAACTAAAGACGACCATCAATCTCGGGAGACACAGAAGTTTAAACGTTGAAAATTGCCATAAGTTTCAATATGCACCTATTTTCTTTTCTGTTTGTAATAAATGTAAAGAATGTTATAAAAATAGAGTTGGCATTTTCTCAAAACCAGCTGATTCTTTTTATGCGTATATCTTGAAAATAAATAACAAATAAAGAAAAAAATCGTTTTTATCCTTTAGGGTTTGTTTATTGAATGTAACAATGAACATGATAAATATTTTTGGAAAACATGTGAAATAAATATAATAATTATTATACTGATTATTTTTACTCGATGTAACTTAAGTTACATCAAATAAAATAGTAATATCTGTATTATTAAGGAAATGAAATGTCATACTATCTTTCAACGTTAAAGTTAAACGTAGGAAAAACTGTCACCTGAGGTGGATTATTCTTAAATATATTTTATACCTTAGAAAATAAGGGTGAATACGAATAAATACATATTGAACACAATAGTCTAAAAAAGTACGGTTTAAGAATATATTTTAAAGTTTTCAAATTTGTAAAAGCTTCTTTTAACCTTTGATAACTCTTACATAAAATTAATTAATAGCTTAAAGAAATTTGAAGCATTCAAATATTTATTGGATTGTGTGTATGATTTTCTATTTAAATAGGTGTTCTTATTGTTTGTAAAAATTGTTAATGATTCCATACTTACTGAATGTATAAATATTTTTTGACGTCTCAGCTGTGTATTTTCTATTGTATATGAATTTGTATTTATAAATGTATTTCCAAATGTATGTAAAGTGTATCATTTGTTTATATTGAGTTGGCTAGTAATGATGCTGATTTGCACCCCTCATTATTGTTATTGGGCGAGTTAAAATTAGCTAAATACAAACGATCCAATAATCATAATACTTAGTACATTAAGATACATTTACTTGAATAAACGTGACTGGACAACTAAAAAGATGAAAAAATGCCCAGATCATTTGTATGTGCATAATAAATCAACTATGTTACGTTCTGTATTATCGATGATGCCCGAGGGTCGTATAACAATATTTCAACATGACTAGAAAACAGTAGGTATGACGAAACACTCTTATATTGTTATATATTCTGTCAGTATTTTGTATTGTTTTACGTATAACAGAGAAAGTCCCAAAAAAATGTTAACAATGTGGCTGTGAAATTTATGCGGATAATAAATAGTATTTTTTCAACGCAACATCTTTAAAGTACATTTACAGTTTGCATCTGCTATGATAACCTTATGAACGTATTTTCAGCTTAGGGTTATTTATTTAAAGTATTCAAAGATTGAATTTATGTGATCTACAATTTAAAATAAAATAAAAGATTGAACTATATCGTTTGTCTAATCTACGGTTATATCGTTACTATGCTAAAATGATAAAAAATTGAATGTTCAAATACCTTAACTTCTCTTTAGTTTTAGACCTTTTGGAAATGTACAGATTATTAACCATTAACTTTGCGTTTCTATCATTTCTACTTATCAAAACAATCATAATGATTAATAAAGTATAAAAAGCATTCCACCATAATAGCTCGGTATTATATTGAAGACAAATTAAGTAAATGTAGGAAACCACATGCTGCAGCTAGTGGTTTCAATTAAACCGAATTGATTCATATTAGTATATGAATGTTTCGGATATTTGATGACAATCAAAACAAACAATAAATCCGATTGAAAACATTCCCGAAAAACTAGCTGTGGTATGTTTTTTAAGATAATTTTTACAACGGCTCTTCATCGAACATAATTTTGCATGATTCGACGAGATCTTACTAGTGAAATCTAGTTTTGTGTACATATTAAACGATGATAATTCATTACAATGGTCTGTTTAGTTTCCTCGGGTTTAAACACATTTATGCACCAAGTTTCTTACATAGAAGTATATACGCAAGAGAGTACCAAAATTGCCTAACCTCAATGCCGTGTAAAATATTAATAACAAAATTGAGACGAGAGCTTAACTCGGTTTCCGTTATGGTTATTGTGAAACAGTTTGTTTAGACTTTGGTGTTCAATAGAAAGTTCTTTTCACAAAACCTTAACAATAAATATGAATACTATTGAATTAGAAAATCTAAATAATCCTATGAGTGTACACGAGTTAAAATTAAAACGTCAACTAGTAGTTTAAAAATTTTTACTTAAATGTACTTTTTTTTGTATGCCGTGGAAAGAAATGGTAAAATAGAAGTTAACACGTTCTTGTAGTATGTAAATTACGATGTAATCGTATATTATAATATTTTTTAGCATACCTATATTCCTTTTGGCATGTATATGTCCGTATAATCTGTTGAGATCTAGTGCCGAGCTGCCGCCGAATGAGCAGCAGCACAGGATCATCGCGGCGGTCAGGAGCTGCTGGCTCGCCATGATAACGGTGGTCGCGGTGCTCGGCTCGGACGGTGTGTATGACACTGGCTTAGGGGTCCGCGGTTACCGTGATCCGTTGTAGGTGATGGTGTTGGCGGCCACCCACGGAGGCGACCAACACCCAGGCGAGTGTGATGCGCAGTCGCGTTTACACTCACCCCTCTGTCTACACACACACGCACACAATGGCATTCAACAACAGCGTACTGTATATACTATCCAGCCCCCATGGTAACAGGTAGTGTGTCAGGCGGCAGCATGACGTTGAAAATTTGTTGCACATACACGTATATAGGCAACTCAGAATAGCTATCCTATTTAAAAAATACTATTGTAGCTGACTTAATCGTTGTAAAAGATCAAGAAATGTGATGTTTTCTTAAGATAGAAATAAACTCATGAAAGTTTTAGTGGAATTTCGACTTGAATTAAAAATGATTCGTTAAAAGTGTATTTTAATTTGTAGTTTGATGTAATGTAGTGTAGTCTGTAATTTTCTTAGTATTGGCCCATAGCCTACCACCTCAGTATGACATATTTTGTTCATGATCGCTGTAATATGTTTTCGAATCAACTTAGCAGATGAGCGGAACAGACATTTCTCTAGTAGGTTATTACCGAAAATGACTAGTAGGTAGCGCCTAAAAGCATCTATAGTTTTTAAATTATTGGAAAATTAAAAAGTTATTACCAAATATTGAAAATAATAACTACGTTGAAATGAATATTTAAAGAGTCTATTAAATAAATAGGTTAAATTGATTTTTTTAAACGAAAATGTAAGTAATAATTTTAAAATATTTATTATAAAAGAAATAAATAATTAAAACTAATATATAAATAAAATAAACATAGAAACGAAAGTATTTATTATAAAGTTATATTTATTTAATGGGAAAATCTCAGTTGATATAATTTATGTGAATTGACTGTAGTAAAATCATATAATTTTTGGCTTTATATGAAAACCATCATTTTTGATTTTGAGCAGTTTGTTTGAGAAAATTTTAAGAAAATTCATTACTAAAATAAAATTACCTATAAAATTTGAAATTACCTCTTAAAAAGCTATAGTGAGATTTATTTATATCCATAATGCAATTTGAAAATCTCAAACAACATAAAATATTTCAGAAACAACAATTCATTTCATTACTCAATAGTAATAAATATTAATTAATTATTATACTACAAGTTCAAAAATATGCATTAAAAAAATAAACATTAGTTATGTATAAAATTTGACAATCAAATAATTAGTTGATTGGCTAAAACTTTTGAATATTTCATAATATATATATTTTTTCTGTTTTAATGATTATTTATTCGATTTAATACAAGTCTGAGAATACCATAATTTATTGGAAAATTAAAAAGCCATTTCCAAATATTGTAAATTGAAATGAATGTATAAAAAGTCTATTATGGTTAAACAAATATGTTAAATTAAATTTTTTTAAAGAAAAATTTAAGTAATAATTTTTAAATATTTTTTCTTAAAACGTATATTAATCAAGCAAGAAAAATAAATATTTTGACTTTCAAAGTAATTTGAATTTTAATACAAAAGTACAAGTTTTGCTTCAGGGTAACTTACAAAAGCTAATTGTCATACATTGATTATAATTTATTATTTAAAATACAAGAAAAAGCTTCCTAAAATAATAATGAATCAATGTTTTCCACTGGTTAAAGTAATTTTGGTGAAAACTATTATTAAAGAATAATAATTCAAAGCAGCTATCTGTAACAATACAGAGTGAAATATTTTCCTACTTGTAGATGTGAAAATGATGAACATCTAAATATATAGGGTGTTCAGTAAATAAGGAAACGGGTTTCTATTATTTTAATTGTTTGTATCAATTTACCTGTTTCCTTACTTACTGAACACTCTGTATATCTATGATAATATTTAAATAATAACCAACGAATATTGCATGTCGACATTATACTAAAACTTGACACATAACGTGACGTTGTATTGTTTTACAAAATACGTGCCTCGTGTTATTATTATAACTGCTGTTTCGCTGGGTTTTTTTCTAATCCCGAGGGACATGAGTAATACCTGAGAGCTGACAAAATAACCACATAGTTTGCACATTTCTTCATTGTTCGAATGAAATATGTTAAGTTAATAGATTCATACATACATGTAATAAGCTTCATAAAAAAAAATATATTTATTCCAAAGTATTTTGATTCAAATTTATATTATTTACATTATATTGGCGTAAACGGTATACATAAACGAATTAAAAATCAAAAATTCCAATTGTTTTACAATCTTGAAATAATTTTGAACAAATAACGTTATACATTCTTTTAAACATAAGTTTTTATTTATTACGTTAATTAAATGAATCATTAACAAGTTCATATAAATCATTGTGTATCATAAACAGTGACGTAATTAGGGTTTCGTCTTGGCTAGGGGATATGCATAAGAAAATTTTTCCTTAATTTTTAAATGAAAAACAATTGTATCTTCGCCATATAATTGTTTTTTTTTCATGAGTGGTTGGGTATAAGGTTTATGGGGGATATGAAATTTATATCCCCCCATAATTAAGCAAATGGTCATATTTTACGTATGGTATATAATTAATAATAAAAATAAAATATTTTGGAAAATACATTTTATTAACTGTCATTTGAGCATATTCATAAAAGAACATAATAGTGTTCTGATGAAATAATTTATACGTCAAAAAACCATTATTAAAATTGGCGTTATACTAGTAATATATTTATACTTTATTTGATGTACAATTATTTTGTTTATACATTTATAATATTCGATGAATGTATTGATTATAAAAAAAATATATCCTATTCAAATGCTTATAATGTGTTATTTGGTTTGTTTAAATCAAATAAAAAAATACTGAGAAAATATTTTTAACTGGATGCTTTGTACATTAGAGAAATGTTTATCTTTAAGATGCTTAATTTGTGATAAACTCAACACAACCTCAGATATGAATCCTAAGTTATCAACCATTAATAAAAAATGTTTACTATTTTATTTATCCTTAGAAAGTTCTAAATTATTTGGAGTAAACTTATTTTTTTTTATAAAAATAGAATTAATAAAATTTTGATAGAAATACTACCGAGATAGGCTACTGCAATATAATATTACTATGGTCAATAAGAGATTTTCATTGGAGACAAAATTTATTATATAAATTTAAATCAATTTTACGCGTTTATTTCAAATTTGATATTAGATTTTTCTATCACTACTAATTTTTGAGATAATTACTAATTAATTAAAAACAATTATTGATATGTATTTATAAAAAAAATGTTTTGCTACAAATTATTATTGATCTTGAGCTTTAATATGTTAAAAATAATTAGTGCAAAACTTCGATCTAAAGTTTTTAATCTAAAGATTAAACTAATTTTTTTACTCGTTTAAAGTTAAGTCTTACGAAAATGTATAAAAAAATAAGTTAAACTTGTTTTTTACTCAACTTGTAAAATTTAAATTAACATAATTAAATAGGAAATCCTACAAGCATTTAATAAGGTGTATTATTATTATTTTTTTTTGAATGAGTATGTAGTTAAGAACTTCATTAATTACTATTAACAGAAAATTTATGAGAAGTTTCATTAAAACTATTTTTTTGCATTTACAACGTAATTAATCATTTTAATAAAAATCTTAGTAATCAGTTCTATGTATCTCTTGATATTTAAAATGTTAATAACTATTTAAGTACTGGTGCAATAGGCGTGATTGATCAGTTATTTTCTTTTTTGAAATTAATGCAAAAAGTCTAGAACATTTAAAACTTAGCAGAATTAAAATTTCACGCTTCATATATCTTTACGATTTTTTTTATTTCTTTAATATTAATATTACGTGCAATTTAAATGTAAAAATGTACATGTAGTTCTATTTTTTTATACAGATTTTTTTTTTTTATTTACTTAATCAGTTGAACTTTAATTTTCTTTTAACATATTTTTGCTAACATAATCATAGTGAATATTTATTTCTAGCAATTTTTTTCTTTGAATGTTTACTATTTGTCTTGCAGTTTTAGGCGTCTTTGGGAATAATTTAGATTTTTCAGTAGAGTGATCTGCTATTTGGTTTAACAGTAATTGTTGAAGGTCGGGATAAACATTTTAGAATTGTAACAATAATATAGAAACATTATTCATTATAATATAATATTATTATGTTTAGCTACATAATAGNGTTGAAGGTCGGGATAAACATTTTAGAATTGTAACAATAATATAGAAACATTATTCATTATAATATAATATTATTATGTTTAGTCATTCAACTATTTAGCTACATTTACATTACAGAAGTTATTATTATGACATAATTATTATTCCATCTACGGAAGAAAGGTGAATAGTTTTCATTTGCTTTCATTGTATGATAATCATTAGTTAAAAGGAAAGAGTATTGTCGTAACTTGAGATGAAGAAATAAACATTATATATTAGTGAAGGTTTTGAAAATTTGTGGCGTTAAGGTCAATTAACTTCGTGGTAAGATAAATAATGAAAATCCTGTGTAAGCGGGTATACCATTACCATCAGCAATTGGATTAGTCTTCTAACTATGCTGTCAGAATCCAATGCCAACAGAATTACAATTTTCTAGGCTATCTTAAATGAACGAGAAAAAGAGACTTGTGATGGTTGGTAAGTTGAGCCTTTAAATGCTCTTGATTACAACACAATATTATTGTAATTTTTGACATTATATGTAAACAAATCTCACAATTGTATATTAAATATACTAAGGTTTATTAATTTCACTGCGTTTAAGTATTATTTAGTAAAACTTTCAAGTTGTTATGCATAAACTGGATAATTTATACTTCTTGTTTATTTATAATCATTAAAGTAATAAAAAAAATTATAAATTAATTAACCATTATAAAATTTCACTTTATCATTAAACATAATTTATATCAAATTATGTTTGCTCAAGTATACATAGTAAGGTCTATGGGCAATAGCTATAACCGCTTAACCGCTGAATAGTCTCCCGTTACCAATTCAGAAACTGACC